ATCTCTTTCGCAAAATTCCGAAACATCTCAGAGATAGGATATAGGCCTCTCTCAGAGAGTTTATTAATATAACTTATAAGAGTTTTGGCTTGCTGGCTGTTGAGTAATCGCTGGTTTTCATATTAATTCTCTTTTGAATGTATAACACCCCGGTGGTATCTTGAGAGTGTTGTACAATCAATACCGAATTTTTTGGCTACTTCCGCATATTTAAATGATTCTCCTGGATCTAGGGATTTTAAAAAAGCAAGCGCCTCATCAATTGAACCCATATTGACGGAGTTGTGATGGTTTGAAGTTGAAGTCAAAAAGTCGGTGTATATAGAAATCCGTGCGGCAGGTGGGGACGTGCGTCAGGTGATCAAGTACGGTACCGCCTACCTAAGTTATTCTGAATTCGGAGCGGTACAGTAGGTGATCACCTGACACCCGGTCCCACCTGATGCCCGATTTCCCCTCACCGACTGTTTTTTTGATGATTTTCAACAGCTTATATCTCAACCAATATGGGTTCAATTAAAGCCGCGATAGAAGCAATCAATATCTTGAAGACTGGCGCTTTAATTAATTATACTAAAATTATAAAAGAGTTTGGTATTGATCGGACAATATTATCAAGATACCACTGTGGGGTACAGTACCCAAGAGACTACTAATATAAGTAATAGCGATTCTTATTTTACTATAAAGTTTATCGACTACTGTAATATTAACAGGATCCTACTAATAATATATCTACCTTATTTAACTTATTCGCTGTAGCCGCTTAATATTGGGATCTTCGGCTCTCTCTCTACTGCTTATAGTAAGAAGCTCAAGAACTTTCTATATAAATTAATAGACCTTAGTTATATTATTAAACAGTACTTCTTTTGTCTCTTTTAGCTAGTCTGGGAATAGATCTTATTGACAAGTAATATCCTTTCTTCATAGCAAGCTGTGGGGATATAGTTACTAAATCTAGAAATAGTTCTAACTCAATTTAATAAATAGAAAGACTCTAGACTATTCTCAAGTAATTTCTCACGCTCAATCCTATAGGCAGAGAACTAGCGGAGAATTAGGAAGCTTCTGAATCGAGTTATTACTAATATATATAATAAAAATACTAAGTTAAGCTCGACAATATATTATCTCTCTATACAGAATATTATTCTTAAACTATATTACTAAGACCTCGAATCAGCCCTCTAGAATAAGAAGAAGAAGTGTTAATATAGAAAACTCTTACAGTTTAAGCTCACAGCCCCTGAGAATAGTATTGCAGTTTTTTACTTTTTTCAAAAGATTCAGCAGGCTCGTGATCTTCAAATATAGAAGAATAAAGTTATACAATTTACTAGGGTATCAAAGGAGTAAGATAAGATCTATCGACAGCTTACTAAAGAGAAGAAAGAATACTTACTTAAAGAGTAAAAGAGAAATCAGATATTCCAGCAAGAATTACAGCTGCTAAAGACAGAGCGAAAGAAATAATAAAAGGAGAATATTTATCTAGCAAAGAAAACAGATTGTCAGCTTCAAAATAACTTCCAGCAGATAAAAAAGTATTTAAAGAAGGCCCCTAAAGCTTCATATCAGAAAAAACCTATAGAAACCAGACTAACAACGCCTATAGAAGTCCCTGAGGCCTCTCCAACAGTAAATTGTTGAGACCGCGAGATCCGGCTCCCACAGCACTTTCGGAACACTTAAAAACTGTATATAGAGTCCTAATAATGACTATATTAATCCACCAAAAGATCTCGCGATAATAGTAATTATATGTGGTTAAATTGCTTCATATTCGATATCGCTGGTGGTGGTGAAATCGGGCGGCAGATAGGACCGGGCGTCAGGTGATCACCTACTGTATGTTTCTGCCGTCCCAAAGATTAGTAGGAATATAGTGACATCTTGCTGGCTTTATAGGTCTCCAAAATCTAACCAATTCGTCGTAAGATTTCCTACAAGTTTCTCAGTATGTATCTATGGGCCGTAATCATGATGTTCGTTGAAAAATGTCTACTTCGATCTCGCCTGGTCCAAGATGCTGGATAGAAATTCGGCCTCGGGGCTAGAATTAGACCCAAATACTACCTCAGGTCCGAAATGCCGACATACCGGAACAAGGACACCATGATAAAAAACATGGCCCACAAGGGCATCTCCTGATATCCACCACTATCAGGTGAACGTTAATCTGACCATATCCTTAATAAGTAGAAGCTCAACCTGCTGGTTCACAGCGAATCCGTTACGCTGATTAGCTGTATCATAGTTTCTATTGAGAAGTTCACCTCCAATTGAATATAACTACCGATACAAACATTCCTTACTGACAGGGTCCCATCACCAAAGGTAACTCTACGGCCAGTCGACTATCAGTTTTGCAAAGATGGCAATATTTTTCCCCGGCATTCTCCAAAGCCAATACGCCTTGTACCATTGTCACACCAGGCCTCCAGAACTATCTCATCCGCGTCTTCCAAATACCTGACCGTGGTGCCATTGGGAAATTCAAGTGGGCAACTACCATCTTTAGTTGCCTCGAAAAGGCATCCCAGTTCGCCTTCGTGCTATTGAGCCGTCCTTCGTCAGATCTCACGCATGATACACTCCCACGGACGCTTTTTATATACACACCTGGCCAGATATTGTTCCTGTGCCCATCAAATCACCTGTTTCGAGACCACAACCTGCGGATGCATGGTGTGCGATTTGTTGATATGGGGTCCAGTAAAGAGAGCGTAGGTTACTCTCTGTAATATTATACCTTTCCCCATTTCCTAAATAGAATCATTAATAAACGGTAACGGGAAACGAACCAGTACCTTACTGATGAGCGACGCATTTAATCGGATGTCAAATGTGGCAGTTGCGCGTTCTTCATAACGCTGATGGTCGAATTCAGTAGCAGAATGGATATGTTCAGGTTCACAGGCAAAGGGTTTGAGTGCATCCAATGTGATAACCCAGGGGGATATACTGGTTCCAAATCCTGGAAAGACTCAAGCTGTTAGGTTCTGCTGTAAATAATAAACCCGAAATACTCATGTGTGTGATTATCTTATCTCACCTTTAGAATGAAAAGGACCCAAGGGAGTCATTTCAAACTCCTGGAAATCTCGACTAGACCAATCATTCAAAAGAACAAATCCGAAAATATGCTCTGGCGCGTCGATCGCGTTAATAGTCTCTCCTAAAGGAATGGGCTTCGAAACAAAGTATCCTATCTCCAACTCAAAGTCCATCTTGATCGTTGGTCCGAAAACCGGCTGACCAACGCCATGGGCATATTTAATACCTTTCGGTCGTCGGACCGGGTTGGGGGAAGGCATGACACTTGATGCTCTTCCATTGTAGACGGAGGGAGCGTAAAAGAAGTTCCGCGCGACCTTGCCACCAGCCAAAGGAGCACACTAACTCTGTCAGTAATCAGTCGTCGTGAAGGAATCAAATACGTTGCCATACATTCTGCGCGTGCTCCAGCGAGCAAAAGAAGTCTGAGTACCCCCAAATCTTCATCGGAAGGTGCATATGAACTTGGCTGAGTGGGATAAAACATTTCTCCGGTACACATCCAGTTGATAAGTCGTGGATGAGAATTTCTCTCACTTTAGACCTCGTGGTTGAGCTTAAGGCAGCAAATGCATTTAGCGAGGGCTATAGATATTGATGAGTCTAGTTGATCTTTATTGACATGTGGGACCACTGACTTGGCTGAAAATTTCGCAAAGGTTTTGATTGGGCTCAATACCATCCCTACCCTTCCACAACAAGGAGAGGTCAATCGCATGATGTCCAAGGGCCGTGGCACAGCGTCGTTTTGGGTCCGAGGCAGTTGAGATTACTCCAAATGGAATATTATCCAAAGTGAACGGTGAATCAGGGGGTATGATAGTTTCGCGGGACATTGCTAGAGATTCGGATAGACTGATATATGAAGAAATCAGAGTCGCATAATCAGAAAAACGTGGGTGAGTTGGGATATTCAAGTATTTATGAGTGGGGCATTATCGGGGTCTCAACTCACAAATGGTGAACTCGGTCGGATTCGGAGAAAGCCAACCGATCATAGTAAGTAGGATACCTCATTCTTTGTCGCGTTAGAGGATGAGAGATTTAGGAGTGCCGCGGGTGACCAGCGTGGTGTTTCCTGTATCGTTAATCACTATCTCTCAGCCGTTAAATGCGCTTAGCGCCATGAGCTGTGTAGACAGGAAAACAATCTGGGATATATATACACCAGAGAGTACACTGAATTGTCACCCATCGTATATTTGGTGGGTTCAATATAGCCACGGACGTCAAGTCGAGTAACAAGTGCTAATCAGAGACCAACGGATCCGGCGTGTGGGCATGGGGCTCGGGTGACTGTCTTAATGGTTGCAGTAAGGTGAAAGAAAACTAATAGGGGTTTGAACTATGTGCTCATCATTGTTAGCTTCATAGCTTTAGTGGCTCTTCCAGAATGTGGCAGTATCGTACGGTTTGCCAGAAGTCAGCGGGGATAGGATTTGATCGGATAATCTTGATGACCTTCGCGGGTAAAGACGGATAGTATGATCGGTTTTTCGGCCCAAGAGGGCCTGTAATGAACCATAGTAGAACCAAGGGCTTTTTGCAACTGAAGCGTGTCCGCCCACTCGCCACATCGTATTCTCGGGGGAAACGTGATAGAGGGTGGGATGTATGTATCTACTCGTATTTTTGGTTCAGGCCTCATTGTCCTAAGCCTCTTTTGGGTTGAACTCCCCTCGGTGACTTGACTTTTTGTCATTTGATATTGGAAAAAGTTGCGACTCACATGCGATGCAGCCAAAGATTCGGGCCGAATGATAGACGGTGATTTGTGGGGCTTGGCGGCGTAGAGTCCGAATCCGACTCTCCCTCTCAATATCGATCTCCCTAGTCCACAGGGTGTACTGATAGCTACGTGTGTATTACACTAAAAGGAACCAAGAATTAGGTATGGAGTAATCGCCTGCCTTGGTTATAATCTGCTTAGTGATCGCAGACCATCACACTACTCACTACTTCAACCCAGAAGTGAGAGTATATTTATCTAATACAGGAATATAGTTTATTGATCATGAAAGACCAGGGGGTAGTTTACGCAGGAAATATCAGAGTAAGTATGACAAGTATTCATAGACTCGAATATGCAAAACTTTTTATGTAACACTCCTCTCCCTCCAGTCAACGAACAAGAAACATCGAATATAGCATCTCCAAAGATTTAGTACAGTTTTAAACAATAAACAATAAACAATAATCGACTAGTAACCATAAATGATTCCATCTGAATATCGACCACTCTTTCGTGGCTGGCAACGTATGTTCATTGACAAATAGCCTCTCTCCAATTTTGCAGAACCTGTCGAATGCCTGCGGATTTCGCCAACCTAACTTATTAAATTGCAAATGGCTTTCCTTCCCGAACGTCAGATATGGCACCAACCGATATACTCATTATATTGATTTAAATAGTACGCTCTTTCATGCATTGCTGTTGCGCATCCTCCAGTCGGGAGCGGACAGTTGAGACAGGGAACGACGGGATAGCACAGAGTGCCTGAAATTGCGGTTGCATGCCTTCGCAACATATAAGAACCTTAGGGCGAGCCTTTTCACAAAGCAGCATTTGTGTCCTTCGCGATTCACACTGATTCATGAGCTTAGGCCGTAGAAAGGCCTCACAGCGCGCCTTGGAAATGGGGGTCTCTGGCGTTCTTTTTGCACCGATCTACTTCCCCTCTTGCATCGTTCTTGCATTTTGCAATGTCGTCCTGGATTTTCTTTTTGCAGTTTGCGACCCCACTTTGCACACCCTTTTTACAGGAGTCGATACCTGTGCCACGGACTTGCCTGCATTGTGCGGGAGTTCGAGCCTCAATTGTATCTGACAAAAGTGGATCCATTGAGTCTATGTCATCACGTTTGGACGCACTCAGATCCTCAGGGCCCCAAGGATAGCCCCTCATCAGGAAGGGCTGCCTCATCTGAACTATCGACAGCGTCGGTAGCACGAGTGTCTAGACTTCCGCTACCATCCTCCAGACTTGACGTGTCAGGAATGACAGCCGTGAAGACAGAGTTGCCGAAGAGGAGGAGAAGGAATATGAATGAAAGACACCTGGTCATATCTGCGATGACAATGTCTTGAATAAATGATATGGAGGGGTAATGGTACATTGATCTTGATTTAACTTGTAGGATTTGATCACTGGACACGTTGTAGTATACATAGGTTGTTCTGCACTTCTAGAACCCTCTGGGTTTGAAGCCTAGATTTCACTGGTATTGATCATCTGTATCCTAAACAACCGCGTACTCCTACAATGATACCTTTCATATGGTGGGCAACTTTGACCGTGGGCGGCACGGAAACCATAATCAGCAATGGTCCAGGCCGGTAGGCTAGGTAAAGGTTCTGGGTTTTCTGGAGTAGTACTTGTGGACGTATAAACGTCGCGAAGCATAGTACTCTGTGATCTGGAACAGATCTAACGATCCGTTCTCAATAAAAATCTTATTTCTAAGCGAGCATAAGGCTAGCCCAAAAACGGGTTGGGCCTACCATAGGTAGGTTAGAGCTGGACAAGCTTAAAAATATACTTGTGTACTGTCTTTGATACGGCTAGAGAATGATATAACGAAGGGTCGCGTGATACTACTAGCAGTCTACCGGGATCGTGCACCGACTATGCAATGCTCCCTCTCTGATAGGCCCGCGACAGGTCCGTTCCACCATCCCAACTCAATCTCGACCTCTCGCTTTTATTTGAGGCGCTTGACATAGGTGTAGGAATCGATTTGCCACGATAGTGTTTCGTAGCCTTGGATGACCAAATCGATCGATGCAGATGGAGTTTTGTATTGTACGTCTATCGCTGGGCCATCGGTACTCCCTTCCGTTTCTCATTGATGTCATTTGTAAGGCCTTACATATGATGAGCAGTATCACTACGATACGTCAGTTGATATAAACTCAATGAAATCTAGTTATGGGATCGGGTCTAGCCTGGCCTGTCGAAAGTTAGGCAATCGAAAGAGCAATGCTTAGTACTGCAGAAATTGTGTCAAGGACACCCACCTCACTATAGAGAAATCCGCGTCGAGCGCCGACCCTTGCGAAGTGCGGAGCTCTCATCAGATCAATGATACGCGCTTGTAATACTGAGCAACAGACCAAGGGTTTAGCTGCCAAGCAAAAGTAGGGTGTCCTTGTTGGAGCTGGCGTAGGCAACTGTGCGGATGACCATCAGTACTGCCAACAATGACCAAAAAACAGGATGAGGCATGGCGAAGGGCAAATCTGCCCACGACTGATAATGATATTGAAGGCAAGAAGTCAAGTTATGCAGGCAATCCGCCTAGGACAAGTGATGCTATGAGAGCTATAGATAAGAATAGACGGAATCACCAGTGAGCAAGTGGTAGAAGACCATACCAACATCAACTGCCTATCAGCAGCGGAAGATAGCATAGGCAGCGAAGGCTCGGAAAAAGGTTGGAGAGTCCTACAAGTCCAAAGGAACAACAACTAAAACTAGTAAAGAGCTTTCAGGTCTCTGTCCAAAGGTTGCACAAATAGGAGGCCTGGTCTGTATCCTTCATGTTTAGTGTTCCTGTTAGTAGTTTTCTGTTCAGACCAGTTCGGCAGCTGAATCACTTCACAATCTTTTGGATTCCCTAATTCAGGTATTATTTGACCGGGAGCGTTCGGCAAATGCACCAGCATCAGGCAGAGCCAGGGCTTGCTCTTGCTGAAGCGTTAGGACCTCCAAATGATTCCAGAATGGAGTTGCATCACCGGCTTTCATATATATACATTGGTCCTTCGACCATTCAGAACACAAGCAGTGTACTATAACAGGGGATGTACAAGTAAAATATACGAGGTGTTGGAAGAGGATAAAAATGACCTGGTGGTGCTATAGGAAAGAGTTCCAATTTAGACTATCTACGAGTGGCCCATATCCACTTTGAAAATCAGGACACCTGCCTTCAGCTTTGATTCAACTGCCGATGGAGATCGAAGCGCATAGCCAGGAATTGCCTCTTTGGCCACAAACAAGTCATAAAGGAAAAGGAAGTACTGCAGAGCCTATCGTCCGAATTAAAAGCCAAAGTTCATCACCGGTGACGCTAGGAAGATTCGATGACTTCCGCCGCTGTCGTAATCTTGATGTCAGGAAATTTAGTGTCCAAAATATCATCGCTGGAAATAGTATATCCCCCAGTGCCAGATATAAAGTGAAATATTGCGAAAATGTACTCCGTTGACCGTCCAGTACTTTCGAGTCCAGTTTCCTCGAATTCAGGGAAAGATATTCGACCGTTTCGAAGGTCTTCGAGGCTCTCGTTTTTCACGGAAAAGCGTTCGCCTGTTGCAAGGGTAAGTCAGAGTTCCCATCCACCGCTTTCTGAGTATCGTACCTCGTGCTCTTTCAGCCAATTGAAGAATATCCTTGAAGGATGCAGTCTGACCGGCGATAAAACTCACGGGTGACCACTCGGATAAGTCCATGAGTCTTGCCACAAACCGTGCCATGTCTTGGGAAGTGATGAAATTCATCTTGGAGGTCCCATCGCCCGGAAGAACTGCCCATTTCCCTGCCACGTTGACAGCATTGACCCATGGCTTTAGATGACTTCTCCAGTGCGGAAGACCATAATAATCCAGGAATAGCCCGTTGACCACCCGGGTATATTCGAGACTCGATTCCTCCGCCGCACGAGTTGCCGCCAAAGCCCACTTTGCAGTAGGTATCATGGGGATGTGCCTAAAGTTGCTGTCAGCCGCCTTCGTTTCTCATCAAAGTAAATTACAATCGACATACTCCTCCTTAAACAACATATCGTATCCACTCACTACAAAGCGCTTCGTCGACCCCGACATGTCTGCCGCACGGATAAGTTTGACCTGGGCCTCACTGATGGCATCGGATTCCATGCCGAACGCACAAATGATAGTGTCGACCTCCGCGGCCTCGAGAGTCTTTGCTGTAGCGCCAACATCACCGTAGTCTACCGCTAAGTAGGTGAGCTTGTTGACTGGGTTGTGCGGCTTACGTTGTGCTTAACGTATCAGACTGTATCGCAAACACCCCTCAGCAACCCTAACCCATAGGATACCGACTCACCTTGCGCGTGAGGATGAGAACATTGTGCTTGCCATGCGCCACGAGGGCTTCCACGATGGTCTGGCCGACACTGCCGGTTCCCCCAGCGACTGCGATAATCCCCATGATGTCAAAGCTTTAAAAGGGATGTACACAACTCGTGAGTCGGATGCCCTGGAATGATACCTTTATAAGGTCCCTAACGTAAAGGAGCAATGGCTAGCAAGCCAGAGGACAATCATCAAACCCCACACGCATTGGCAATACCGGGCTTGGCAAAATAAGCACTAGTGCTGACAATCTGACGCTGTGACTCACTTGACTGTGTTGATTCGTCCATGGATCGACAGGATGCGTCTGCGGACATTGTTGTCGTTCAAGGCTATGTTCTGTGTATCTTTACTCGATGCTGCATAATGTCACTGTAGCTCTCCCCCGGCTTACATGAATCCTGAGGGTGTAGTGCGAGTCTTGCGCATACAAAAACAACCAATACATCGCATATGCCCCTTGCAGCTATTCCATATAATCCATTCGCCGGAAAGCATTCCCTGTCCCGTTTATATTGGGAAGCTGGGCTTCGGAGGTGTATGAATCACAGTCGTCCGGATAGCTTGCAAGTTACCTATAACTCTAACTTTTCGTGTTGACCTGGATGTTCCGCATAAATCACGTCTCTGCGAGCTATCCAGAGCAGCCGATCTCCAGTGGCGACACTACTCTGCCTTGGTGTGAGCTGAAAGTACAATACATCCCTCCCGTTATGGGTTACGAGCTGCGTCGAATTCCTCGTCATTTGCGCCCTCACCACCCAACTAACCCGGATTCTTAATTATGCATCATGATATCACAACTTCCACCAACCTAAAGTGGATTCCGGGGTGGGATCTCAGTCGACAAGGACCTGGGAATTCCATGTCGTTTGAGAGGCGTTGAAGGGGGGGGGGGTTGCCCAAGGCAGACATGCCAGTATTTTGCATCATTTGCACTGTTGGCATGGTTTACATTCCCGGCGATGGTCACGGGACTTCATTGTTCCAATTTATTTATTTCTTTTCTTTCATTCATTCGTTCATTCTCTTCAGGGGGGGGATAATTTATAGAACACGTTCCCCTGGTTCACTTCTTCGCAAGTGCCGCCAACTTGGCTTTGATCGCATCAGCCGACACCTGCTCGTCCCAGATATAATTTACACTGTCCTGCTGCACCGTTGCTTCCGCCCACCGCTTGAACCGCGGTGTGTCCTCCAGCAGGCTCGGGAGCTTCTCACTCAGCAAACCCTGTCTGTGGAAGGAGAGAATACGCAGAAGGAATGAACCGGTCAGCACCTCGGCCAACGTCAGTTTCTCACTACCGCCAAAGAACGGACCCTTGCCATCCGAACCCTCCGGCAATTGATGCTCCAGTTCCGATTTGATCGCAGCGACGAGCGCCTCACCGGCAGCGTCCCGCTCCTCTGTGGTGGAAGCCCGCAAGGATGTCTGGAAGTGAGGTTGGACCTTGCTGAAGAACGTGTCGACGAAGAAGGCGATACGAGCGCGTTGAAGGGCACCGTTCTCGCTGTTGGATGGAGGGAGGAGGTGCGACGGATGGGCGTCGGCCAGGAATTGGGCAACAACTGCGGACTCCGTAATGATGTGTTCACCGTAGGTAATGGAGGGGACAAGGCCGCGCTACAAGGGGACTGCACGTCAACATGCGCATACTAGGAATGTTCGCCGGGCGTGGACACCGTAGCAATACACTTACCGGGTTGATGTCCAGATACCATGGCTCTCGTGGCTTGGTCAGGTCAATGATGACCTCCTCGTAATCCAGTCCCAATTCTTTGAGGGCAATATGAGCACGGTGGGCCCAGGGACACCGGTGGTTGGTATACAACGTGATCTTTGGAGAAGTCATTCTGAGGTTGTTCCTTGATAGTTATCAGCAGGTCACAGAGGAGGGAGGGGATGAGGAAGACGGAGGCAACGGAGAGTATAGATATACACCATAGCGGGGGGTGGGGACGAGTGGATTTCTAATCCGACGGTGTGGTGCCAAACCCGAGCGAGATGACGATATCAACTATCCTCCGTCATCCGTCGAGGGTTATATGTATATCCGGCTGCCATGCACAACCCTCTTGTATATGCCCTCCGCAACAAGGAATGTCTGGTCAATTTAGCGATATTAAGAGTCTATAATGACTCAGTATCTATTATAGTCTCGAGATCTCCATACAGACAGATTCCCATGTATGTTACCTACACCCGTACGACCGTTGCTGGAGGGCTTTCGGGTACAGTGTCGGGATATTGGCAATGCTGGCTTTTGCATTGGAATCGTGATTATTCGGTGGCATTTATGCTCATCCTAGTTTTAAGGGATATCTAGTATGTATCCAACCCAGCGGGGCCAGGCAAGTTTAGCATGATTCAGTCTTCGGGAGAACCTCCATACAAAATATATATATATCCCTTCGACATTAAGGCGGATATATGTAAAACCAGCAACAGAAGAACCAATATCTGCAAAATCCCAGAAAAATCATAACAAATAGCAGAGATACATATTGAGTTCTATACCGATCGAAAAAAGCAAGCGAAAAGAGATGGAATCGAGTGAGGATAAAAAGATACAATTTGTTCCGGTCGGATTTCGAACCCATAGCCTCGAAGGTGCGGAGGCAAAAACTTATGCCATGGAGTTAACATGATACATAATGAAGAAAGATAAGGAGTAACTAGTTACTTGTTGGTAAAGATTCACTCATCTTACCAACCGAACTGGTTCCTGTTGCCCCTATCGTTGTTTGACACCGTCTTCCCTACCAAAGGCACGCCATCTTAGTTGTTTGGCAAAACAAAATTATGACTCCCATATGTCTCACCCGATACACGATATCTGTATTGCAACATGTGGAATCTTGATCTCCTAATCGGTGGTAGTCTTTAGGAACCGACTCCTCGACAACCTCGGTGTTCGCCGTGGGCGTGCAGGCCAGACTTTCAACGGAAGACCCTCCATTGGCCCTTGAAGCCTTTAAATCCGCGATATAGAAGTACTCCAGAGCTTCTCTACATTGCAAATGTTATAGTTGAATACGCTATGGTATGTACAAAGGTGCGTCTATCTAACCTTTCGAACAAGAAGAAAAGACGTAACAAACCTACACTCGAGCTCGCACGAATCAATCAGCCGGATGAAGCCCCGTATACTTCTATCTCTGCCAGACCAACATTACGCGTAGATGGGCTAACAGAAGTTACTGTGAATAAGAGACTTTGCGTGGTTTTCGCTTCAAACTGAATCCGGTTGGGTTTGCCATAATTGTCCAGTGCATGAACGGTGGTGTTACTTCCATCATCAAATTGAAGAATGCCGCCAGTAACTTGGTCATCGACATTGGGACGGTCGTATAGATAGACCTCAGAGATCGACTGCGGTTTGGCCCATGTAAGCCTCAACGTGCTCCCGGCTTTGCCACCCACCGTTGCCCATTCTTTGGTTGCTGTTCCTGGATAACCGTCGATTATTCCGTCAATGACCTTCTCCGCTGTCTGGCCACTGTCAGCGTTCTGTGAAGATGCGGTCGCTGTTGCGTTACGGGCGATATTCTTCAGATTAGTTGCAATCACTGTGACTTTTGCTGGCGTACTCCTTGTGTTTCCATTCCCGACTACCAAGCTGAACCCTAGTGTTTCCGAAGACTTAGGACTGGTGAATGACGGTCGCGCAGCTGTGGCATTGGAGAGGATAACGCTGGCTCCTCTAATCTGTGTCCACTGATAAGTAAGAGTGGCACCGTTGGGGTCTCGACTGTCCGTACCATCAAGCATGACCTTCTCCCCCAATCCAACTGTCCGACGAGTACCAAGGAGACGGGCATTCGCTACTGGTTCTCCAGTGACAGCATACTGTCGCTGCAGCCATTGTGCCTCATTGCCATTACCACAACTGGCTAAGTCATGGCAAACTTTCGAATCGTGAGCAGCATATGTGAAGAACGCAGATTGCTTGGCATTGAGATCATCCTCAAACACGTTCTGGGCCATTGATTGGATTGAATACCCAGTGTACCCAGTCAAAGTATGCGTGGTGGAGTATTTTTCGGCTGCCTTTGCCACATAATAAGCCGTGGTGTGGTGGTCACTATGGTCAACATCACCATACTCATGAGCGTAGTCCAGAGTATTAATCCGATCAGCGTTGAAATCATTCATCAAAGTAGTAAGTGTATCAAGAAGCTCGTCATTTGTGTAGCTGGTCGACCCGTTCACCGTTTGGATGCTACTGATTTCCGACTGCCAGAGTTTCTGGAGACTGGCACTTCCGGTACTCGGAAATCCATCTCCGAGGCCGTTACCGTCGGGTAATTGAAGGAAGACCAGTGATATATCCGGATTCCCATCGAGTGTGAAGACAGGAATGTTTTTCCCGCCAATGCCAGCGTCCGATTGCGACCAGATGTCACTTACATCGGCCATCTGCGCGTATGCGGCTTGGGAACCCGCCTGGCGTTGCTCCCAGTAGCCAGTAGAAACTTCCCCTGCGTCGCCTGCTGTCAGGAAAACTGTGCGAACTCTGCGGCCGTCTTGAATTTCATGCAGAAGGTCGGGGCTGACGAATAGTAGGTCATCATCCTGATGCGCGACGATGTTCAGGGTCTGTGCCACTGAACAGGGTATCCGATATAGGAAGCCAATGGCAGCGAGAAGAAATGAAGTTCTCATTTTAAGGAGCCTGGGTTGTGCGTGCTATATGATCTGGAGATAGCCAAAAGTCTTATGCATTTGCTATGAAGCCATTACCAATACGATGAGGGCACAAGTTCATTTCGTCGCTCTTTGTCCACCTTTTAAACATCAGGTTCACTGCACTTCTTCACTTGTTGCGTGGCCTGACATTCCAATGGCGCTGTGTTTGTTGTGTCTATTTTCTCAACCCCTTGCTTCTCACATTGCAGCCAAACCAGACTCATCGGAGTTTTGGTAAAAGATCAACCAATCTTCGCGGTCCAAGCACATTCACGTTCGTAACTTTGAACAGGAATTCTCCGGCTGAAGGGGATCTTCTTTTGCAGACAAATCAGATAGCTTCACGTATGACAACAGCTCGACAACCAATCGAGTGGAATTACAATATTCGTCTAACCATGCGCGACGTTCAATATGAAAAAAGCTAATGGGAAACATAGTCGCCAAATGCACTCTCAGCTGATGCACAGTCAATTCATCTTTCAGATCAAGTGTTTCTAATTTCCTGTACCTAGCTACCTGAGGCTATATGGATATTGGAGACGAGGCGTTTTCTGGAATGCTTATCCGCCGATGGACAAAACTCAATGTGTGGTTTCATACCTAAGGCTCCTGCAAGAAACAAGGGCTAACGCCGCTGAGACCGATCCCTTCTTCCATGTCGAATGATTATTTATGAAAAAGCCTGCGCTACTAAGAGCTCAAGGGTACCATGATTTACTTGCCGATCGAGCAAACCTCTTTGTTCGAGAAGTTCGTATACGGAATAGTGTATCCTTCGGCGGCCGAGCCGACCCAAGGTTCAAAGCACATACCGAGGATCGCCTGCGCCAGCTAGCCCCAGGGGAATTGCCAAGCCCAGATCTAGAATTTCGTTCAATCATTAGCTTGAGCTTTGAACGCATTGCTATGTAGTATCTGACATGCGCTGCAGCCTTGGAGCATGGGTTGTCAAAGTAAAAGTACCTACCATAGTTACCCAGATCGGAATTACGAAGAACCTAATCTTTAGATTCTCCCAGGATCCTTAGCTGGCCCAGAAGACCTCGGTGCTGTGCCTATTTGACTTACCGAGACAATCCTCATTCTAATAACCATCGGTTAGTCCTCGTCCAGCTTCTATATTCGACACTAGGACACAGCTCTTGGATCAGGGACGGTCTTCGAATGTTAGTAGTTCAAGAGTACTCCAAGTTTCTTGGTTGTACCTTTTCCGGAGATCGAGATAAACCCAGGCTTTCCCCCAAGATTTTACAAGTTTGTATGGCATATGAGTTGAGGTTCTCATAAGCGCGACAAAACTTCTCCTACACATGTGACATGCATGAGAGGGATATGCCTTTAGAATTCAGCGTATTTGTTGACGCAAAAAAAAAAAAAAAAAAAAAAGTTGCGAAGTACTCCGTACTTCAGACCTATATTAGTTAGCCTATTCACAGCGATGGAAAGTTCCCCCCGAAACAATCTTGCTTCTTAGGGTCGTCTTGGGTGACATTTCGCTCCTCGGCCACGCTACCGCACGACTAATTTAGTTCCTCCGACGCGGTTCATGCTGGGCATTTAGGCCATCTCGGGCCCTTATTGGTAGGAACAACCGGCCGTAGTTAATAGTGGATCCGTTCGTGTCGTCGACGAGAAATCGTCGGGGCCAGGCGGATCTATTTGGTACTGGAGTGTGGGTCCTCAACATTATCTGATTGTCGTTCTCTAGAAGCCGAAGGCAAGTAATGAGTGGGCTACTTGGATTTCGAAATCCCCACTAATGCTGTCGCTTTGTTGACACTGAAAGCCTTGGACAGATCTGCGGTGGCATCATAGTCGAGATTGAGATGGTTGAGTAAAGGTACCTATCAATGATCATTTGAAATACTATTCGCAAAGAGTACGATTAAAGAGGCATCCTGCATACAGCGCATAGCGTGTTGGAACAAAAGAGACATTATGGGTCATTAGTATTAGATATTATTTTACAGAAAGCTCTGGATTCTACCCCTAGCTCGACATATAATCATTGCTAGTGCTCCGCCACAGATACCTCGAATGTATTCTGCACCGTCACGGTCGGTGGGAGATATCGTGGAGTGAGGCTCTCCTCACTGCTGTCACGCTTCGTCGCACGGCTCCCTAAGATGGTAGTTGAGGTGGTAATATTCTTATATCCGTCGTTGGGAACATCTGCCCAGCAAGTGCCCGATTCGTGGTGGGACAGCTTTTGCCTCTCTTTACGAGCAAGACGTGACCGGGACAACGGGATGGATGATCCTGCGTTTCTTCCTTGACTTGGATTGGAACTGCCGCCGCGCAGCATTCGCACGAGGGGTCGAAGGGTTGATAGACAGCCCGCTGTGATTCCGAGACCGGCTTCGATATTCGCTAGGATAGAGAGGGTGGCGGTGGCATCTACAGCGCTGTTGGTGGAAAGTCACACAATCCTAGCTGCTTGCTGACAAGGGATGAACTCACAAAGAAAGTCCGGATCTTTGAACTTTTCGTTGTATGGCAAACGAATCACAACCGCAGCTCCTGCCCTAAGCCCATGCATGATCTCTCAGCACATGTCCTCTTTCGTTGTATCACGCATGTCATGGCTGATGAGACTCACAAGCAACCCAGTCCAAGAATGACTCCGAGAGAGAACTTCGCACGTCTATTCATCTGTAGCTTCCAGATCATGAAAAGAGGTAGAATACCCAGGGTGAGGTCGCACAAAGCGGCAATCACGCTATGCGTATAGACGATGTCCAAAAGAAAGTCTTTGCTGACACAGTGTGAGGACATCATTCCATAATCCCAGACATAATGGATGGGGCGGCATTCGAGGAGGGTCGCGAAGAAGAAGAGTAGACCAACCGCAATACTCAAGGCGATCGTTGAATAGATAATGATCAGGTGTACGCGGACGACAGTGATACGCAGAAGTGAAATCGCAATAGAAGTCCTGCCGGCGGTGCCCGTCAGAGCGTAGAATATCTGGCCAACCCACCAGAACTAAAAGTGGATGAGTACGTTATGAATTCAAAACAGATCATATGACAGCACGGGGAGCGTACGCGCAGCGAGTCTTTCAGGTCGTTCGGCTTATCTGCAAAATAATTCATCTTCTTTCCCAGCCCCGTGGAGGCGCCGGCAATGCCGCAGATAGCGAATGCAATGTTGAAGGCCATCGCAAGGACCATCATATAGTCATCCGCGCCAAAAGCTCGGATGAGATGTAGTCGGACGTAGCATCGAAGGCTGACTGTAAGAAAGGACAGCGCAAGAAAGATGGACGTCACGATGATAATCGCCTCACTCTTGTCATTCGCCATTTTTTGACGCGATGGGCGGCAATCTGTGTCGTGCTATGAGGCTAGAAGTGGTTCATGGCCTGCTACGCGACGTTTTAAGGAGAATCACAGAACAGGGTTCTCACTAATCAATTAGTGAGGTGCAGGGACTGATTTTCGTCTGTGCCCTGGTCAACTTTATTGGTATACTATGCCTATTGCGTTCGGTGGATCATTGGACGGCTCCAGAGTCGATGATCGTCACGCTCATCAGTCGGTAGATGAAGCCTTCATTATTATTATATATATATTTTTTGCTCAAAAACAACCAGCCTTGGTCTGATTCCGTAAAAGTGCTACCAACTGGTCATAGCAACCTACCAATTCTGCCCACCCGATGGCTTGGGTCGTCCGGCTTCTTGAACACAGAAGATTGCGATCTAGGCACGGTTCATAATTGACCCACCATACCCATCATCGCATTTGGCTGTTGAGGCTCGTCTCTACGCAATGGATTGCCGTCCCTGTGCCAGCCCCACAATACTCGTGTGTGAGTTACCCAGGGGCAAGTTCGGAGAGTCAAGTTTTTGGGTGGAGATGCGCTATTCTTGTCAGTACCGTCTCGTATCGTAGACAGTTCAAACCATTACCTCACAGGAATCACCACTTAGTGCCAATACTTTCCTAATGCAGCTCCTGGTGATCGGCACACGGCCGCAGGATCTCGGCATCACAGAAAATTACGCCTCAAACGGGGCCGGCAGTGTTGGTTTCCAATATTTGCTGGACTAGGGTTTGCTAGAACGCATGAGTTTATTTGGGTCATGCAGAGGACTAACCTGATTGGGCTTAGCCAGGCCCTGAGTGTCGATCCCCATGTCCCATACAAGTAACCAACGCGAGCGAGAAACCAAAAAAATTGAATGATTCAAAGTGGATCATTTCTTTTTCAAAAGTTCGTGGACGTTATCGGTAAAGCCTCGGCGGCTACGCAAATGTGGAAAGTCGCGTACCATCGCCCAAGTGGACATCTGACTTTTAGTGTAATACGATTTTCCTAGTTAACATTATACTAGAGACTAATTCCTTGAGGTGAACGGTTTATTACCGATTTGATTCATAACGTTTAGCGGAAGAGTGAGCGGCCACAGTGGAGCGCGGGATAAGAGAATTTCTTTGACGTGCATGATTGTCAAGATTGCCTTCTTCTAGTGTATAAAACTTTTAAGTCGGTTACGGAGTCGACCTTCCGTGTCTGTTCCGGGCAAATAGATGGGATTCATAGTTGACTGTGTGCAAGCCCAGCAATTCTGAACCAACGTTGCCTGAAGATGGGCAGCTATGTTGTCCCGTGGCCCGTGGAATGATTGAGTATTGCGTACGGAGTATGTCCGCGTAAAATAGCTAGAACGAACACAGACGTCTGGTTTTAGTTCTGAGGTGACGGTTTTACCAGTACGTCCGGCAGACGATTCAGACGTGATAGCGTATATAACTACAGATATCCGTTTAGTACCAACCAAACCTTATTGTGCAATGATGTGTTTGGCTGCTTGTGAGAAACGCATGTATATTATTAAGAAAATACACCTGTAATCACTAATAACTATGCCTTAGTATCGGTATCTCTCTTGTATGTTATCTCTTGGACGAGTAGTTTACTTCTAACAGACACCATTCTTTTGAAGACTGAAAGCCCAGCTTTCAACATGCGCTTGATTCATAGCTTTCTCACATCCATTATGCTCTATATCAACCCTTTATAGCCTCGGTGAATAAGGTATGCTGCAGAAACGGCCACGGCGTATGAACTACTGTATGTAGCTCATATTCCTTGACATGCCCACGGATGATCGACATGACCATGTCTCTTTCAGGTAGATTCATCTAGTAGAAGGTATGTCTAGTGGTACCTATGGCGCAGAAAATTCAGCTCCGGGCAAAGGCTTCGTTGCCGGTTATCGATCCTCTCCCTTTCACCGATTGGGTTCCCTTCCGATCACAGGGTGCGGTGCTCACCCACGCTTCGCTTTAATACACAATGATTTCGCTCGTGTATCATGACCAGACTCCAATTTCTCCCGCATTACTCTTAAAATGTGGAGTAGGAGGTGCTAGCGACCGGTGGGTCTTTGTGCAATAAGGCATGTGCTGAGAGTCGTGGTATACAATATACGGTTATAGTCAAGTCTTCAAGTGTCACTTCTTACAGACGCAACTCGAGTCCTCCTGAAGGCTATTTGATCGATCGATCTTACCTTTGTGCGGATGCTGGAGAGCTTTAACCAACATTGTTGAGTATTCTTGCGTCTCCTTTTGACATATTCCGTACTCTTGTTCGTACCCTCCTTATACCCCATTCACCTTCGCGACAGTCGTCCCTTTCTCTCATCCCCAGCTTCCGTTTCTATTCTGTTTCCGCTGTAAACAAAGTTTCTGATATGGAAGAGTACCAACTACACTGATATATTCGCCTGCAATTCGATGAATTCCTGACCTTGTGTTACCATCTAATATTAGCTGGCACGCATTATCAATCACATTTCACAACAATTTAACGTATTTATTAGTAGTGAGAGTTAGATTGCCTACCATTCTCGAGGGTTCGTATAAATCCATTCCAAATCCTAGCAGACGTGCCCCATCCGGTGCCACTAGTAGAGTATATAGCTTCTTATGTTCTTCTTTTTTCCTTTTCTTGGAACATTACATTCGCATGCAAATTAATCTACGAAAGCTCGCACCGACGCTCTGCGACTGTCGTACACGAATAAAGGAAGGTTACTGGTAACAGAATGATTCATTGTGTAACAGGAGAAAGAATTCGGACTTCGTCCACTATGTAGGATGACGACGAAAGAATTGATGGGCAAATCTCTTTTTCTTTACGACAACCCCTTCTAGGTTGTTGTCTCCGAGTGCTCTTTCATAGACCTGTGCAACTGTGACGTAGGCTTTTATACTTCGAGTAGCTATGCCGGCCACCCATAGATTTTGGTGCCAGCTGCTTTCATCCTTTCCACGATACAACAGTTTAGTAGAAGCCTCGTTTCCAAAGGGGACTGATAATCTATATTATATAAAAGTTACTAGTAGTAATGTAATGCTTGGTGACTGCGAAAGGGCTTGGGACGTTATATTCTACCTTTCTCCTTTCTATATGCTAGCTAGATAGCTGGGACTGCACTTAACCATATATACATTAAGAGTGATGGGTCTCTCCCTCATGTTTCATCTTCTTTTCTTCTATTTGAGGAATGATACATATACTCGTGACAACATAAGGGATGGATCAATCCCCACATAGCACTGTTGGCACGTAGGTTAACCTGGTCTGGAAGGTGGAGCTTTCGTCGGGCTTGAGAGAGACTGCCATGGAGGGTATTGAATTTGTTACAGTGCTACTAATAGCTAATATCTACTGGAATTCTACCCACCGGGCAATCTCCACAATCTTGGGTGATTGGGGCGAACAGACCCATGGTGCCGCAACAATCATATCAACGTCACAGTTCTCTTGGCAGCGAAGTAGAGATCGAGGCTTACCCCCATAGAAGCCCACGGCAGCCAATTCATCGAGGAAGTTCCCAATCCTCAAGCGCAATGACGCAAGAGGTAGGGCTCCGCCCACACGTAATTGGGCGCCACCCCGCAGATCCGTCTTGGCCTCAGGCCCCCCAAAGGCTTCGTGTTGCTTAGTTTATGACTAGTCCGGAAGATCGGAACGGCCAATGCCAGTCGGACACTTAATTTCGACTTGGGCTTTTCCATGGTCTGACTCGTGGTGTCTTTCGTGACCCACCATGTGTGTCCTCTCCACTTTTCTGTCTCTGACTGCCCTCCCCCACGGGGTTCCGCGTTGGGGAAATGGCATGTGTGGGGTTACTCGTCTGACCGGGGCATATCTCCGTCGAAAAAAAAGCATTAGATACGTCGAGACAGGGTGACAGTGCAACTATGCCATGACTCGTGATGGTATGATGACAACAGAGACTTTTCCCATACTACATACTGTACATACGCCCCGGTCTGGTCTCGTTTGATTGGGCGATGCTTGGGACAGCCCAACGCCATACGTCGCTGATTACTTTTTGACTCCTGACTGGAGAGTCATAGCGTTGAGGAGATGCCATCAGAGAACAATCATTCCTGCCGTTGGCTTGCAACACTATTTCCTAGTATAACCCGCATGGCTCTCTTGCATGGAGCCTGAGTTTCTTACTCTGAAACCGTTGAAAAATATGGTTCGTGGACTAAAACTCCCGTACACACACTCTCCATTACCTGGTAGCGGCATGGGCCGCGTCTGACTGCTGAGAGGATTTAGAGATGACCTGGTCCCATGTGATTGGCCATGATATGATTGGCCGTGTGAAGCCATTCGCTGAGGCTGTTACCCAGTATGTCCTATAAAGCCGGACTCGCAGCCCCGCACCTCACGGTGGACACCTTGTTCTTGTGAGGTATCATAGCTATTTCGGTCAAGCTATGCTAGCTACTAGGAAGCCACTAGTTGGCCGGAAAATTGGGATTACTGTCTTCCGATACCTGCAATCACCTGAAAGCCCCTTCTGCCCCTGATAGATCTGCTATTCAGACTTTACTTCTTCTATTCTTGTTCCTAAGTTTCATAGAACCCCCACAATGAAGGACGAACGCGGGCCGGATGCCGGCCACCACAAGATAGATGGCATGGATGAAGTGTCTCCGACAGCCGAACATTCGGAGAAGCCAAGGCGCTCGAGTATTTACGACATCGAGGGCCGACCCCCAAATAAGCTCAGCGCCGTCTTCAAGAACCCTCTAGAAGGCATTCCCCGCCAGCAGCTCATGGAGGATGTGGACAGATTTTGTGCCCAGTATGGTCTGGATGCCCATAAAGAGCTTTTCCGTAAAGGAGCTCTGATTTCGCAGAATCCTCAGGATGCCCACAATATCCCAGAGCTGACCGAGGATGAGAGGGAGGCTATTCGGCGCGAACACACGCATAAATGGTCGCAGCCTTGGCAGCTTTACTTCATGGCGTGTACGTACTAAGAATCAGTCGCTGAGCGCGGCATGTTCTTTTACTGTTTTTGATGGCCTGAACTGTGCTAATTGGGTTTTAGCCATGTGCTCGTTGGCCGCCGCGGTTCAAGGTATGGACGAAACCGTCAACAATGGCGCACAGGCCATTTACCTCAAGGTGAGATAGATACATTCGAGCACGAGAACTGCAGTTCTGACTTGATACGAAGGAACTCAATATTAAGAGCGAATATATCACTGGTCTCGTTGTTGGCGCCCCCTATCTGGCTTGTGCAGTTATCGGCTGTTGGCTCACGGAGCCTATGAATAGATACTTGGCACGGCGTGGTACTATCTGGGTGTCTTGCTTCATTGCTGCTGTGGCCTCAGTCTGGGAAGGTGTATGTAACTCCTGGGTCAACCTGTTTATCGCTCGCTTCGTTCTTGGTCTCGGCATCGGTTCCAAATCGTCTACGGTCCCCGTTTATGCCGCCGAGTGTTCGCCCGCTCCGATTCGAGGAGCGCTGGTCATGATGTGGCAGATGTGGACCGCCTTCGGTATCATGTTGGGAAATATCATGGGGGTTGCGTTCATGGGCTTGCCGGACAACCTATCGTGGCGTCTGATGTTGGGCTCGACGGTGGTTTTGCCATTAGTCGTCTGTGCGCAGGTTTACCTCTGTCCTGAATCCCCTCGTTGGTTGATTGAGCACAATAAAATCAACAAGGCCTACGAGGCTTTCCGCATCCTTCGCCCTACAGACCTTCAAGCAGCACGTGACTTGTACTATGCATATGTCGGTGTTGAGCTCGAAAGAGAGGTGAACAAGGGAAAGAACTTCTTCACTATGTTTCTGGAGCTCTTCACAATTCCCCGCAATGCACGAGCAACACTTGCCACCTGGATTGTCATGTTTTTGCAGCAGGTAAGTAGTCTCCTAATGAACGCTCGGGGTGAAATATGATTGGATAAGGGCCGATTGGCCAGGATGCTATCTCACCTCCGGCACTCCGGGGGAAACCCTAGAACTCATCGTTGACTTTTACGCATGGAACGAGGGGCTAATCGAGCATTTATCATCTTAGTTTTGTGGGGTAAACGTCATAGCCTACTATTCAACTACAATCTTTACGGAATCAGGATATTCGATCCAGGAGGCGCTGTTGGCGTCGATGGGAACAGGTATCCTGAACTGGGTTTTTGCGCTGCCGGCATTCTTCACGATCGACACATGGGGCCGACGGAATCTCTTGCTCTTTACCTTTCCTTTCCTTGCCATCTGTCTTTTCTGGGCCGGCTTTTCGTTTTGGATCGAAGAAGGGATTAAATATAGCAGGAAACGCGTGGCCATGGTGACAACAGGCATGTACCTGTTCGAAGTATTCTACTCACCTGGTGAAGGACCTGTGCCCTTCACATACTCCGCTGAAGCCTTCCCACTGCATGTGCGTGAAGTCGGCATGTCCTGGGCTACCGCCACCACATGGTGTTTCAACTTCATCCTTTCATTCACCTGGCCGTCACTCCTGCGCGCTTTCCAGCCGCAAGGGGCGTTTGGCTGGTACGCTGCGTGGTGTTTGGTTGGATGGGTGCTTGTCTTGCTATTCGTTCCGGAGACTAAATGTAAGTGATCCTTAGTGACGCCTGGGGCACTGATCAATTACTGATAAATGATAGCCCTCACCCTGGAGGAATTGGATCAGGTGTTCTCAGTCCCGACTAGGAAGCATGCGATGTACCAACTCAGGAATGCGGCCTGGCATTTCCGTGTCTGGGTTCTGCGGCAAAAGCTCGAGCCGTTGCCTAAGCTTTACGAAGGAGCGGAGCATCTTTCGGAGACGGGAGAGAAGTAAAGCCTCGATCGGTCGAGATACTTTAGACACGTGCATACTTGAATCTCGGCTTATGGTACCGCTTGCAGCCAGTGAGCTCGCAGCGCTGTAGGTGAAACTAATACGCGCGGTGGCAGTTCTTGCTTCGAGTCTCTAGGTTTGTTTCTTTTTCTTACGATGTAATACATGAAGTGGTTGTATCTCGTGGTGTTAGTTCGTTCCTTGAATCTAATATTATCAATAAGTCGTGTAATTCAATGAATGAACAAAATGAGAAGAAGGGGCCCAACGCTAATATCCCTTAGAGCGGACTCGTTGCCGACTAGCATAGGTTACCTTGTTGAGGCTTCACGATGGAGAAGACGACTGCCCATACTGGGTTGAGGGATATCTCAATCTAACAAGAAAACCACTAGGAAAAATTTCTTTCTTAGCTCAGGAAACGTCCGATTGGGAGAAGATGTCGCCACTTTTTCGAACGGTTTAGTGTCGGAGCTTAGCTAGTCTATCATTTGTGGGATGGACGGTAGGATCCGAGACAATCATTTACTCCCAGCCAAGTTAGCAGCAGCTGAAAAAATATGACCAAAACTTACTCCGTTCTCCGATGGTTTACGACGGGGAAAGGCAAGCACGCAATCTGCAAGTCTATGGAAGTTCAAGACAAGTCAATGACATGATCACTCCGGTGGATCCTGTCCAGATCAGACCCTGACGGTCGGAATATAGCGAATCGACAGGGATATGAGATAAGATTCTACTCGGAGACGGCATCCCGAAGGCCAGGTGGAGGGATTTATCATGCTCTCCTTCTACTTTATTTATTTATTACTACTTTTCCCCCCTAGTTCTGTTTCAACACTTCCGTGGAGAAGAAAAAAGTGAAAAGAAAGGGTTAGGGTTGAATGGCCGGATTGGGACAGGTTGCCACTAGACTAAATTAAGCGTGTCGGTCACGGGCCGCTTTCTCGCCGCCCAGCCAATCACCGGCCAAGATTCAAGGCTTCATCCAAGTCAGTATACAGAAAAAGTACTAATCGACGATCACGAATGCGCTTCCTCCGATAACGCCATTTGCCAAGCACATCCGGCGTATGAGAACTGAACCTACCACGTTGGCCCCGCTGCATTTGCTTGCGCCCAACTTGGCTACATTCAAGCATTGTGGTCTTTCTGTTTCCATGTAAAAGTGGGACGCAGTGTTATCCACGTTACATTTAGCACCGCTTCCGGATCCGGCTGGGGTTTCGATTGCTTAATGAAAACTCGATCACGTCATTTAGCCTGATAGATGAGGACAAAGTAATCAATTTTATCTATAACTGCAGTGGCTCGCCGGTGGACACGATGTATGTGTGTGTGCGATTCAACTCGTCCTCTCCGCGAAAACCGTGGCCAGAAAGCCCTCTACGTGTGCTGAAGGTCAATCGAATCCAGTGACAAGGATCGACGCCATTAAACATCAATGGTTCTGTCCGCGGTCTCTCGAAAGTTTTCGAGGGCAACAGAGGATCCCTTGGATACTCCCTCACCCGTGACGGACAATGATAGCGATCGGATATCCAATACGGACAAGAAGTTGGCGTCCGTGGACGAGCGATCGTCCAGCGATGAGGAATATGTGAAGAAACTTAGTGAGACAGATGCAATAGAGCAGGAGACCGAAGAGAATCCAGAGATCGCAGCGTTACCCCGTGAGGTCCGGCAGCTGGTCAGTCTCACCGATGATCCGACCTTACCCACGATTACCTTCCGATATTTTCTCTTGTCGATCATCTTTATCGTTCCTGGGGCTTTTCTGTCTCAGATGAGCCACTTCCGTACGACTCAGGCACCGTATTCGATCTTTTTTGTCCAGATCGCAACCCACTACGTCGGAAACTTCTTTGCACGGGTGTTTCCAGCCAGGGAGGTTCGTATGCCTTTTACGAAATGGTCATTCAACCTCAATCCAGCGCCTTGGAGTGCCAAAGAACATGTGCTGGTTACGTTGACCGCTGCCTCTGGTGCCACGTATAACCTGGGCTATACTCCCATTGCCCTTGCGGAGCTCTTCTACGGTGAAAGGCTCAATCCAGCAGTTGCAATTTTCTTCATGTTCGCCATTGTTTGGGTTGGGTACGCATTTGCAGCCATCGCGCGGCAGCTACTTCTCTACGATCCCACATATGTCTGGCCACAGGCCCTCATGCAGACCACCCTCTTCGAGACATTCCGGAAGCAAGATGTTTCGTCACCCCTTGCTAGGCGTCAGCTCAAGATCTTCTTCCTGTCTCTCGTGGGAATGACCTTATGGCAATTCCTCCCCGAGTATGTGTTTCCTTTCACGTCTTCTCTGGCGTTTCTTTGCTGGGTCGCTCCCCACAATCCTGTAGCCAATTTTATTGGTTCAGGTCTCGGGGGAATGGGCTTTCTCAATTTAACCTTCGATTGGTCGAATATTAACTGGAACGGCTCATCGATTCTACTCACACCGTGGTGGACACAGGTCATTCTGTTCCTGGCATATGTCGTGAGCTGTTGGGTCCTCCTTCCAGCCGCCAAGTGGGGAAATTTGGGCTCATACAAGCACGGCCTAATGTCGAACTCGCTATTCATGGCAAATGGCACCAAGTACCCGGTCTTAGACGTTTTGACCCCCGACTTTCGCTTGAATCAAACAGCTTACGAAGAACATGGTCTCATGTACATGGGACTACACAATGCTTGGGCCACATTCTTCGACTATGCCAAGGTGACCGCGGCCGTTACCTGGATTGCTACATTCGGGTTCTATCAGCTGAAGTCGAACCTGAAGAAGGCTATTGCGTCCCGTCGGAAGTCGGAAAAGGCCAAGGGCCAAAATATCAACTATCAATATCATGATCGTCTTAACGTGCTCCAGAGGCAATACAAGGAGGTGCCACTGTGGTGGTACGTGGCCCTCTTCCTGGCTGGGTTTATCATCCTTCTTGTGGCCACCGCATGCGGATACCTTTGGATCCCAGTCTGGACGCTGTTTGTCGGCCTGGCTACGGCCGGTGTTTTCGTCCTCCCCTTCGGTTGGTTGTACGCAATCTCCAACTATCAGCTCGCAGTAGGCACATTCAACGAGATGCTGTACGGGTACATGGTCCACACGAAAGCAGGCGCATCCCACCGTCACCCCTGTGGACCTTCCACCTACGGAGCGATCGCTGGCGATGCTTGGTATCGAGCCCAGTATATGCTTCAAGATCAGAAGATCGGACATTATATGCACATCCCACCGCGCACGGTCTTTTTCTCCCAAATATTTGGAACTGTTCTCGGTATTCCAGTGAATTACGGCGTAATTCGCTGGGTCTTGAACACCAAGGGCAACATCCTCAAGGGTGTTGAGAAGGACCCGCTGAACCAGTGGACTGGTCAATCAATCATCGGTTCTAATACTCTCGGAGTGCAATACGCTGTCATTGGACCTCAGAAAATGTTCGAAAATCCTGAACTGAGGGTTCTCCCTTACTCTTTCCTCGTGGGAGCTGTGATCCCCCCAATGCTGTACATTCTTCACCGTTGTTTCCCACGATTGCGGGTTGATCTGTGGAACGTTACTATCTTTTTCTCTGGTCTGTCGGTCTTCTACGGTAACATCAGCACAGGATATACTTCGGCCATCATCGGAGGATATGTGGTCATGTACTGGGCTTATCGGCGTCGGTTCGAGACCTGGAAACGGTACAGCTACATGGTTGCCGCCGCCTTCGATGCCGGCTTTAATCTGAACATGTTGTTGATCTTCCTGTTCTTTGGTTCCGGGAAGCAGATCAAGATGCCCAATTGGTGGGGCAATAATGCGGACTCTGTTGAGCGGTGCTTCGCATTGTGAATAAAGCCAAGCAGGATTACTCATACTAATGGTGTATATAGCATGCCTGTTGTACATAGTTCTCTTCTCTATAATAAACTACCCATCTACTCTCTTAGCCTATCTGTTCTGGAGCTCTCATAGTTCATCATAATCTGGTAGTACTTAGCATCTTGTCGGGTCCTTGAACCCGGTTGTTTTGGCATGTGGTCATATCGGCGTTGGGAGACAGATACTTACAATTTTATAGTAGACTTTCCAACCGAGTTCTACTCTATGGTACTCTTGCACACATGCATGTGAATTGTGAAGATTTATTCGGCTTCTAATAAACGCGGACTTGGTGGTGGCTTGAGTCTGACAAAAGTGGCATACGGGTCCATTCTTTCAGCGCCTTCAGTGTCACTATCTGTGGCATTGCATGCCACATAGCCCATTTAATAGAACTCTTATCCTATGACAGCGATATAACAACCACTTTACTCAAGCAGCTCGTTGGGTAGGTACAACGCCATCGAATCCTCCCAGATACTGTCGGTGATGATAGTCTTATTCGACCCGTCTGCATTCATGACGAAAATCTGACCGTACGGCTGGAAGGTGTTGTCATAGATGGCGGCTTCATCCCGGAAGCCATACATGCCACTTGCATAGAGAATACGGCCGTCCGTGGTCCAGGTTGCATGGGCATCATTGGCCCCGCTCGATGTGAGCACCTTCAGGTCCGACCCATCCGGACGTATAGTGCACACGTCGAAGTTGGTGTAGCTCGTCCGGCGTGTGAAGACGATCCGCTGCCCATCCGGCGAGTAGAAGGGAAGGTTGTCCCGGGTCGTAGTCAAAACGCGAACACTCCTATCGGTCAAATCCATGATGCGAAGCCCAAACTCAGCACCCCATACACGGTAGACTAAGTACCGCCCATCCAACGAGTAGCTGGGGAATCCCGCATTGATCGTACCGTTGGTGAGGATCTCAGAATACGACCCGTCTGCTTTGGCCCTCGCAATGTATCCCTTACCAGTCGCGCGGGACTGGAACCAAGCTCCGATGCCAAAGGCAATCCATTCCCCATCGGGTGACCAAGTGGGCTGGAATGCACCGGCCAGGCCCTGGCCGACTTCACTGGAGCTGATATTGCTTTGGGTCAATGGGTCGAAGACGAGCTTTTCGTCCATTCCGTCTGGTCTCATTGTGACGATGCTAGAGTTACCCAGTTGCTTCTGCGTGATAGCTAGTCGACCTTGTTGTGACAGATCCGGGAACACGTCGGTAAACCTGTATTCCCACTCGGGATCCCAGCTGTAGAGTTTCTTCTCCATCGGACGCGCCTCAAACTCCGACTTCTCATAGACAATGGACTTGCCATCCGGTGACCATGACGGTGACCGCATCGTTCCATTAATCACCGCGCGAGTGGAGCTCTCAGCGGTGTAGTGAATGCCTTCGTTCGATCCGCCCTTGACCAGGTAGCCAATATTCCCTGCTGTTACGTATTGTGGCGAGATTTTCACACCCGCTCCATTCGTATGCTGAATCCGATCCAGTCCAGTGGCAAAGTCAACAGATACAATCTGCGAAGTGGCACTGGCGACCGATTCGGGCCGGTGTGCGTCCCATGTGTTTTCCGTCGTGATCTCGTAGAAGATGATCCGCGAGCCGTCTGGTGACCACCTGGGAGACCCAAGACTCCATCCCGTCTTGGATGCGATTTTGCGAAAGTCCGTTCCGTCCGGCCGGATGACATACACCGACAACTCTTGCGTGTGCTCCCAGCCAGTCCCATTACCGTGTCCACGCCATTCCGTGTTGCGATCCGAGGAGAACGCAATCCATTCGCCATCGGGTGACCAGCTGGGACGGAAGTAGCCATTGGGTTTGTTAGGGTCACCCTTGACTCCCTCCAAGTTGGTGAGGTTCCGTTGTTCGCCCGTTTTCAGATCCATCACCCAAACATTTGTCGTGTATCCGTTCGCTGTCGAGACCCATGCCACCTTGCTCGCGTCGGGAGACAGCACACCTGCATCCTCGACGGAGGAGGTTGCCACCAGCTTCTCTAGCCCGGAGCCGTCCGCATGGCAACGGTAGAGGTCCGAGTTACCGTCGCCGTTGCGCTCCGAGGTAAAGGTAATCCATTGCCCATCGGGCGAGAAAGAGGCATGGTAGTCGAATCTGGAGTTGTTTCCCAGCAGTTTCCGCTCGTTGCTACCATCAATGTTGGCCACGTACAGCTCCGACGACGATGGTCCAATTCGGTTCATGAGCATAACTCCCTTTTTGCCGGGAGCCGGTAGTCCACGAGCGGAATGGGTCCGAGGCATTATGTCGAAATCTTGCTCCATCGCAAAGTGCATTGCTTTGTGGGCTGTTGCAAAGCTTGAGCCCACGGCGAGGGCCCATACCGTAGAGGTAAGCCAGCGCATGCTTGTGTCCTTGGATCTTCCTCTTGTGATCCTGACGATGGAATAATCTTTGAGCGAGGAGGATGGGGTATAGTATTTATGCAGATCGACGGCCTTGTGCGAAGCAGAAAACCTGCGCTTGTGGATTCAGTGACCAACCAGCTAGTGGGAAACTGCATAGTGCGTAATCAAGCGTTATGAAACAGTGGCACATCGGTTGAAGCTTGCTTTGCATGCCATGATAGGCAACATCTTGGTCGATCTGCGAAGCAGACTTCGTCTGTACAGACGGCGCCAAGACCGCGGAAAATGAATCGATATTAAGATGGGCACCCAAATTCACCAGCATGCGCAATTTAGCGGTCTCACCCACTGGCTAGTTCACTCGAACAGACAATGATCTGCATGGTCGTTTATAAATTTCTTCTCCTGGTGGTGATTATCGGATAAGATTATGTTCTCAATCTCCGAGTCTATGCCCTACAAGACCACCTCGGCCGAGCATTGATGCATGTCGGGATATTATCTCCGAGACAGGCCAGTGGACCTGGTGGAGTGCTTCAACACTCAAGAGACTGGGTGGCCCAATCTGATAAGATGAATGTCCTGTTGAGCTCTTGGCAACCAGAGACAATTGATTGATAATTAATTTCCGGCGGCGAAATCCCGACAGATGCCAGGGTTTGAGGCAATTAGAGCTGGAAAGCTGCTACCGAAGTGAATCACAGTGGGACCGGCTCATCGGATAAACGGTAGTATTGTCGGTTCAAACCGCCATATTGCCCTTTCATTAGTGGACATTTGATGGATAGGTGGTAATGGCTCGGAGAGGGAGGAGTACGACGTGAAGCCATGTGTGGTGTCCCCTTTGGTTGTCATAGTGGATTTGTAAAGAGCCCTGACTCAACGCAGGAAGGATAACTTCCTCTTTTCGTCTGGTTATGAACCCTATGATGCAAATTGTGCAAGAACGCCAAAGCCCATTCCGTGCATTGCCGCTAGGAGCTACATAAGTCATCACATGTGCATTAGTTGTGTTTCCCCTGTGGGACACATTGACATCCTGAACGCTCTCAAGCTAACATGCTATCAACCCTTCCTAGAAATCCACCCTAATTGTCGATTCTAAGGAAGAGTCAAGCCATATTCGCCTTCCCCTTCCTCCCCATCATGACTGCCCCCTCACTGATGCAGCTCGTATCCAAAACACTCATTTCCAACCGCTTCTCGTACGACTGCTTGCTCTTCTCCGCGGATGTCCGCAACATAAACCACCTCAAGTACGGCAGCGGTCGCAATACCTCATCCACGCAATCAATCAGCCAACCCCCAAGACCGTGACCCTGATATTCCGGGAGGATGTACAAGTCGGTTAGATACGCGAATGTTACATTGTCCGTGATAAGCCGGGCAAATCCGATCTGATCTACATGTTCTTTTGAGTGTGTTGGACTATCACTTGAGATGCCGTTGCTTTCACCGTTCTGGCCAGGGATAGTCGGCTTGGGCTTGTACAATCCGAAGCAAAAGGAACCCTCAATGATCTGTTTTAGGATTTTCTCAGGGTAACTTTTCGTCCAGTACATGGCATCAGTGTCGAACGCGGTGTTGATGGCTGACACTGAGAGGAGGGTTTTATCCGTTGATACAATGAACGCATCTTTGGTCCAGGTCTGAGGTTCGATGGGTAGTGACATGACTTGAGAATCACTGACGAGACGGTAATTGCTCGCGAGTTCAGTTGTAATGAGTATGTTCGATTGTTCGGAGCCCGCCGTTTTTGGTATAATCTAGGGCTCGGTTGTTCGGTGAGATTATCGTCTTGAACTGACAGAACCATGCAGAATATGAGGATGTGCTAAAGCTCGGTATCATATGTGAGGAAGACACCGTTCTTATATATCCTTGTGGGCTCAAGTACGAGATGAGTCACAGAGTCTTGGCAGTCCATTGCGAATCTTCGAACGTTGAAGACGTGTACAGAATAGTTAATATGAATGAGTAGAACTCATAGGAAGACATCCTTGTCACATTATTTCACGTTATATTATATGGTTGTATCACTGGATTGAGCTTCTGACATATCCTAGGGAGCTATACATAATGATCACTATGGAATGAAAACCCGTAGCTACTGTACACACCAGCGAAATGAACCCATAGAAGAATTTTGGCGACTGATAGAGCTGGAGAAGATAGACACACACCCCCATTTAATAGAGTAGCTCGATGCTACAGAGCCCTAGCATCGAGGGCAGAGAACATATCATCCCAATTGGTAACAACATCTGAGTCTCCGAGGTCGATGAAACTTTGCCACATCCTATCAAAATTCCCCATTCCTTCGAGATAACTGGGCCACATGTCGTTGCCATCTATCGTACTTGGCACTGTTGGATACAGGGTCGCCGGACTCAGATGTGAGCAACTTCCCGTTGGCACAGGTCGCGGAGTAACAGCTGGCGAGACCTGGATATGGTACTTGTGGAGGATATTAATAAGTGACTTCAGAAACTGACCAGCGACAGGAGATGTTTCCTCCGCCTGCTTCAGCACACCGCATGCCTCCATAACCTCTTGTCGCCGGCCTTCGTTGTCTTCATCTTTATTAATACATAAATCCATAACAAGGACAGCGGTGGCTGAGAAGAAGGTCCAGAGAAATGTAGCTAACCGTACGTGCACGGATGAAAGAAGGCCGGCATCCTGGCTTATCAATTTGTCCATGTTGATTATACTTCGAGCGGATTGCAGACAGACATTTCTAGAATAACTGTAGCGCTCGTCCATCGATATACGAGTAAGGAATGGCTGGTTCAGTTTGGCTCGACAGGAATAAAAGCTGCTGCCTATGATGTATCGTTGAAAAATTATTTGAGGATACTGGCGGTCAACATCGCGGCTCTGCTGACGACTTGCTTCATCATGTCGGAAGAATATGGGAAGATCCCGCAGGAAGTCATCGAATCTCCTGTCCAATGACATGATGGTGTCGTAGCTCACCGTCGGCCAGTCTGAGGGTGAAAGGGGCAGCGTATCTATTACGATGCGAGACATTTCTGCCAGCTTGATTCGCAGTATGTAGTAGGTCATTGGCGTTGGCTGCGATAATGGGAGGCTGTACTCCAGGTCGGGATGCTCTAGATCCACATCATCAATGTTACGTGGATGGTTCACGCACATATGCTTAGGATGTATTGAGTACGTTCCTTGCTGGGAGCCACCTGATAGTGACAAAAACCTGATTAACAACGTCAGAGTTGATCGTCTTTCTCCATGGTGTGAGGGATCCTGGCTGTGGACAACGACACGGGAAGTACAGGAGGGTGGGGGGATAGAAAATAATACAGAGAGAAAGTGATATGCCAATTGAAATAGTGCATCACACCGTGGATTTAATGTGTCCATGAAAGCATCGAAAGATGAGGAGCTCACCAGTCTGTCGCAACCAGATGCCACCATATCCGTCTATTAATCTCCATCTGTACGGGGCTTTCTTTACATCTAGAAATGTCTGCATCGATACGATGGAGCGACAAGTCTTTTGCCATGATCAGAGCGTTACTGCTCATTGCACGGAACCTTGGAGAAAATCCCTCGACATTAAAAATCATGAATGACAAAATGATTGTTGCCTGGACATCCTCTATCGAGCCATGAGTATTGCGACGAGAGTATTCCAGGATATCGAGAGCCGCTTTCGTCCAGAGAATAGCGCAACTTATAGCGTTTGCTTGATTGAGAAATAGTGAGTCGGCAGTCTTTGGCTCCAGCATATATGCGGTGGTAGCAAAGATACTTAATAGAAGGGCGACATGGCCAGGCACAACGCTCAACCCGAGCGACAGTCGTTTGTACGCGCCCTCCAGAATAAGGCGAGTAGAGGGTATGTGGACAACATGATGTACAAATGCTATGTATTCTGTGTAGCGCTCAAGCAGCCAGGTGGCTTCATCTTCGGGGAGCAGCCAGACACTCATCACTGTGCTTCCCGACCCTGCGTTACTGCCAGGCGAGTGTCCAGAGATTATGGTGGGCAACGCCCGCTCAAGAGATATGATGCTAAAAGAGGTTCTGTTGGACAAACCTGATATCTAACCGTACACCAGTTACTAGAGAAATGCTGCCGCGGGCTATCGATCACTCACGATTGAGGCCTCACGACTGCCAACGCCTTCCAGCCACCTGGTATCACTCTCACCATCGGAAATATACGACGGAGGAGCCACAACCGTGACACTTGCTGAAGGAATGTTCTGTCTGTCATCAGCCCCATGAGATCGGAGAACAATGTCTTCTAGTCTCTGCAGGCGGGCCAAGACATCATTATGGGTGCTATTTGGGAGAGCTGGTTGGACCGATGGAGGCACAGCATGTACTCTCTCGCATGTAACTCCACGCGTCGAGCAATTTGAGCACGGCTGTTCCCGATCGCACTTTAGCTTCATGGTGCGACAAAGTTGGCAGGAGACAGGAACCTGCCGCCGTCGCCGACGTTGCATGTTGGCGGCATGAACTGGGGGCTTCTCTTTCAAGATTTGATTAGCATCTTAGGGAATCAAGAGGTCAGCTGTTGAATGGGGTGAGCCCATGTGATCTTATCTAAGATCTGTGGCCCCCAAAACGGTTTAGCCCCGTCCCAAGCCCATCATTCAATTCAAATTTATTGATGCGCTTCGAGAACAGGAGACAAATGCCAGCTGTAGACTTGGAATAAGCCGGGTGGGGATGACCGTTATTTCGAAAAACCAATGTGGCAGGTGTAGCAATTTGAAGGCGTCCGCTCCGAAACCCCAGCCGGTTTCGTGGTATGACTATCCACAGATAGCCATAACCCCAGCAGCCCATCTAAGCAACGGAAACAGGCTGTGAACGCCTTTCCTGATGCTCCATCTGCGAACCAGTCGATCAATCTCTTTGTAGACCTTAGTAATGGGCTCATCATCGTACATGGCCCTTTGCTAGAGCATACAGTATATATTACTCATGACGAAGAATGTGAGGGGAATGGATGCTAGGGTGAAGACAGCAACAGCGCAGTACCAGGTAACGCTGTTGGAGGGTACGCGGCTGGCTGAGGGGACTTCAAATTTCGAGACAGCCGTATATAGGAGTGTATCTTCGATCATTTGTAAAAATCTCAGTATATTGTAATCGGGCTTATTCCCGTGACATCATAATATATCTTCGGGAAGTATTGTCCTCTACATATAACTCGATGAAACTCAATCTAGAGCAATTCTTTTGGAGGTCCTACTAATAAGTAAGTATTCTTGGTTCAGCACGCCATATGCAATATCGTTTGCGTACTTCAACCAGGAAATATATACCATGTAAATGCAACGTCCATGTCCGGACACCTCGGGGTGGTCTAATGGGATGATTTTCTAGCACGCGTCTTTCTACTCTTGGACAGAGTTCACACCAAGAATTTCTACCGAGACCCTGCTTTCGAAACGTACTTGATCGCAAAAATCAACAAGGAACCAAAACAGAAGCAAATCGTGCAGTTTTCCTGTCTGTACAATTTACCCGCCGGCATCTATGTCGGTCACACCACATGGACACGATTCATAGCCCTCGAGCTCAAGCTGGGGCTGTGAACACCAGAAATTCGCACTAGAGCCCCATCAAGACGTCTTTGGGGGTCTGGACATTTTTATTTTTATTTTTTGGTAATCTATTGGGATGATCTTCTCCTTCAGCACGTACTTTCTGGCTATAGAGCGATGCGCATATCAAACAGTATGTTTGAATGTCAAGTGATTTATAACTCCACACGGTAACTAAGTCCCAGCATGCATTACCTAAGGACAGCCTTTCACTACTATCGTTGAAGAAGAGATACTATGTAGTTATGTTGATCAAGGGTTTGAGGACAAGTGGCGGAAGGATTTCCTAATCAGGAGAATTCCGACATTGCGTCACAGCCATTGGAATGCAGGTTTTTGTCAACAATCATTTATGGACTTCTCAAGGAGTTCGACCTTTCTTCTCTCTTTAGGTACATTTTCACTCGAGATAAACCATCCTCAAACCCTTTCTGCACAATGTTCAGTTGGTAGGTCATTTTCCCCCTCAATTTGTTAAATGATACTGATGCGATGCGCGCAGGTATCAACGAAGTTTAATCCAGCGCCCTGTCCTGACCCAAAGTTTAACCACGGCGGTATGTAACGCTTCTCCAGTCTCTGAGCTTAAGTTTTGGTGACTAACTGAGCGCGCAAAGTGCCTCTTCGCCGTGGGAGACGGTCTAGCGCAGCAAGGGGTCGAGAAGAAAGGCCTTGCTCGTCATGATGTAACCCGTACTGCCCGCATGGCACTCTATGGTGGAGGTGAGCCTGGCTTCCCGGAGTTCTAAGTTCTATTACTGAGTTCGTTGCAGCTGTGTTCGGCCCGGTTGCCACGAAATGGTTTCAATTCCTGCAGAGCCGTATCAATCTCGGCACCCCGGGGAAAACCCTCGTGGCTCGCGTCGCCACGGACCAGTTAGTCTGTGCTCCGACCATGATTGGCGTATTCCTCTCCAGCATGTCCCTCATGGAAGGAGGTGATCCGAGGGAGAAGCTGAACAAGACGTATTGGGAAGCACTCCGGACGAACTGGACGATCTGGCCCGCCCTGCAGACCGTGAATCTGTATTTCGTACCGTTGCAGTACCGAGTCCTGACGGTCAATGTATTCAATATTGGTACGTAACGTCTAATCATTTCTTGGGACGAGTGTATACTAATTCCGTCAGGGTGGAATTGCTTCTTGAGCTTCTTGAACAACGCCGATAATGGCCAGCTACAAGAGCTACCTGTTGTGTGATTGCTTCTGGGCTACTTGACGATCAAAAGCCTATAGACCGGTCAACAAGGCACGATGCGCACAGTATTGGGGCAAAAAAGGGTCGATCATTGTTCTCCACTTTTATTTTTCACCTCGACGTTATAGAATGACGGCATGTTTCCCTTTCGGGATTAAAGCCGCCTACCGTCGGGGTTCCCAATCCGGTATTTCCGGCACCCAATTATAGAAAAGAGCGTCGCCTCAGAAGTTGTAACATATTCGGTATATTAGTATCAGCGATCAAGAGAATAAATTTCTAAAGCAATATTTGTTTGTACGAATATATATATATATATACTCCATGATTCCCCTTTTCAGTGTAACGCTGCACACCTATCCTCAATCTCGACTCACTATTAGTCGGGATCGTGATGTGTATTGCTACTCCCATTCCTTCCAGCCTGGTAGCTTTGAGCGTTATTATCTATGTCGGATGTAAAGGTGGAAAGTGCTGCCTTTTATACACAAGGTTGTCTAAAATTATATATACATCTCCGATCCCATGACATTCACCCGGACCACTCGTCCCTTGTAAAACTTTCGGGTATGGACGAAGTAGTATACCAGAGAGACTAAAATAAAACCAATGAAGATGACAACGTCCCAAGTTCATGGTAGTGGCGTCCATCTCTCGGGTCCAGGGGAAGAAACTAAAGGTTCAGACGACCAACAGAACTAAAAGAGAAACGGTGTCGACGTAAGGGCTAAGTTCTCCCATATTCCACCGAGCAGGGGGAATGAGCTGCTTGCGCCAGCGAGGGAAGCATGGGCAATAAGTCTTTATTTATATGTTCTTTTTCACACATTATTACTCCTAATTTACATAGAGTTGATACGTATGGTCATAGGGGGTTCTCTGTCCGGATAACCCACTGGACGGGGGTATTTGACTAGGGCTTAACCTTGATTCTAAACCTATGTAGACAGATATATACTTAGCTCTTCTTATATCACTGAGGTTTACGTTATGAATGATAAAAGGAACTAGAACAGTCACCACCTGTCTTACTTCGAAGGCGAGGACCATTGTGAGTGAACGAAAAGTAATCTGCGAAATTTGAATCGGGGCACATAACACAATATGGAATTTCAGCTCTACAGCGGTGTGTCCAAAATATTTATTCCAAAGGCGCGAATCCCATAAGGTCACAAATAACTGAGCTCCCAAGTAGTGTCAAGGTCATTGGCTAGTTTCGCGAAATCATCCAAGTCCACAACGGTGCCTACTTTGTCGCCCCTTCTGTCGAATCGCGTAGCCAGATTGATTTCATGATCATGTTGGTCAAAAAGCTGAATGGAGACTTCCTCTCCATTCTCAATATCCCGAGAAGGCGAATTGTTTAGATTGCTAGGCAAGAGGAATCGGAAGGATGTCGCGCCCTTCTCCTTAGCAGCCCAAACTAAAGCGGTGGACATATATCCTGGCATAATCCGATTGGAGAAGAGCCATAGCTTGTTTTCTTTTCCATCCTTACTGTAGATCTTGTAAGGGTGGTTGTATTTCAGCTGCGAGTTGCTGCGGTCAGCTAAACCTATCCTTCTGGAGCCAACATAGAAGTGAAAGAGTGCTAAGACTTGCCTTAGTCTCTCTGGAATCTTTAGAGGATTCAACATCAACATAAAACTTTTGATTTACGGAATCTTTCTTGTACTCAAATTGTAATTGAGCAGCATCGGTGATAGAGACAGATAAGTTTGAGATGAACTGCAATCTTTTCTTAGTAGTGGGCTTTCCAGCGGTTAGTTCGGAGATATGTTTAGCTGGGAAATATCAGTAAATTGCGGCACCGGCAGTGTGAACTATGGAGATCATACCAACTTCGTCTTTCGTGGCTTGCTGCCCTATGGTCACATACTTATCGACCATCTTGCTCCGCAACTGGAAGCCGATTATGCCAGGTTTCTGTTCAGTCTCCCCAGGTGCTGCCTTCTTAGAATTCTTATCAAGAATGCCTGCAAATATCTGCTTAGTATCTTGGTATCCTGGGATGGACGAAATCACGTCTTCAATGGCGAGTACACTAGATTGCTACAGGATAACAAACTTGTCTCAGCGTCCGGCTCGAAGGGGTGACGTTTGGAACTTACCTTGACAACACGCCAGTTGTAGAATGAACCAACTGTATATGCCCATGCAGGAGGACTAGATATTGACAAATAATCAGTGCATGCTGAGTAAACAACAAAGATGGGAGGCGCACTCATTGCAGAGTAGGGTGTCGCCACCCTTCGCTTCCCAACACATGGATTTGTTCGAGGAGCTGGTTTGTGTTGCAGAGCTCGAGTCCTCGGAATTGGACTTATTCATATTGGCGGAAGCCTGCACATATGGCGATTTGAATGACAGTGCAGCTGCAGCTCTCTGAGACTTAGCATGCTCCGCTCTCTCAGCTAAGGAACGGGCAGTAGACTCTTCTGCGGCATGTAGTCTTCCACCAAGTTGGACTCTCATGGCAAACAAGCGACCTATATCCCGTTAGACATTCTATATACGAGCGGAGAGGTGTATGGCGAGGTCAATGGTGTCCAATACCATATTTGTCTTTAAAACTCTCAATATCGGCAGCAGTGCTCACGGCCTTCAAGTCAGCCTTACACTGGTTAGAAAGGTCAAGGCTCTGGTGGTCAAAATCGATGATAACCCGAGGAAACTGTTGTAGTAGGGGTTAATATCTAGTTACAATGATGGTCGAATCTGATACTTACGTTGTATGTAATGTTCATCACTCTGGTCTCCTCGCTGGAACTGGAAGAGTCCGAGGAAGAGTTTTTCTCTCCATAGCTTGCTGACGCACTTGCACTGAAGCCAAAAGCACCACCTTCACTGTAAATATACTTTAGTATTTGGTGTCCTTATCACAAGAGAGAATGACCTACATCGCTAAAGATGCGTCAAATTGAGACATAGAACTCGCTGCAACCGCGCGAGACACCGATTTGTTTTCCTCGAATTGTTCAATGTATGAGTCATCTTCAATACGGAAGAAAGGAATTCGCAGCATTTGCTGTATGATTTTTAGAAGTTAACTGTTATATGGAAGCTTTAGTGAATGCACGTACCTGCGCGTTAACTGAAGTTTTTGCTCCACTGGCGGATATCTGATAGTCTTGGAACGCTCGCGGCTTCAGAACAAAAGCTACATTCCTCCCATTAGTTATTGATATTTCTCAAAGGCCCTAGCTCAGAGTAAGATCTTACCGCTATGTATGGAACGCTCCACGATTTTCCCCCCTTTCTTTCCGAGGTCCACAACCCGGTAAGGGTTAAGAAGGGAGTTGTTACGTACAACCACACTCCACTGCTTCTCAGACATGTCCGCAGGGTGTCTAGAAAATCATCAATCCTATTGTATAATGTCCTTTTGCATTTCCACTTACACGATGCTGAATGTTGTGGTAGGATTGATGAAGATATTGTGACTAAAGCTGGTGGGTGCTTGAATAGGCTCTGGTTGTGAGGCCGTTGGCAGCTCTGTGAGCCTCTTCTATGCAAGAGAATCAACGTATGTCTTTCACGATAGGGGTAAAGCCCACATACGTCGGCAGTGACCTTTTCTCCTCTGTCAAGGATTGCCTTGCTGATAACGTCCTGGTTGATGATCTTCTCGGAAAGAAGATAGACCCGATAGGTGTCCGCATTATCTTGCGATGTTTCCTTACAAGCCATCAACACATAGCGCCACGTCTGGTCATTGGGATGGCGCTACTTACAGCAACCTCACTGGACTAATCCAGGGGTTAGTAGCGACTCAAATTAGACAGCATCTGAGACAGTGCTCACCTTCTCGTTTAAAATCTGGAGGTATGCCTTGAAGTTCGTGATATCCTGCACAACTGCCCCACGTTGGTTGCAAAAAGAGCTCCAAACCCTAGAGAAAGTACTCATAAATCTAGTTACAGAGCCCTGGGTAACTTACTTACAGTCTAGGCTCTACGATATTCTCTCCAATCAGCAGCTTGCGGATATCCGTAAGCTGCATCTCCTCCTCCTTTACGTTCTTGAACGGTAGGCAGCATTTCTCCTTGATCAGCTTGCTCTCCCGACTGTACGAGTAAACATGCAGGATTTGCTGCGGCTCCTTTTTGTCGTCTAGCTGAGGTTAGCTGAAGAATTCACGGTTAAGGTATGTCATTTCTGAAAGACGAACCGGTGATGATATCCAAAACCTCCTTTGGTATTTCTCCAACGGCGGTTACTGCCTCCTGAGCAGCACCCGCAGCGACTCCAGTCTTATCTTGAATGACTCCATGGATGCCTTTAAAGAGACCGGCCATTTTGGCAACTACAGTTGGCTGTATTGGTAACTGAAATAAAAGCAAGAAGGGTTTGAAGCAAGAGAATTGTACGCTAGGTTGAGCAGGTGTATTTTAGATTGAAGACTGGGCTTGAGGAAGGAATTCCACCGTCACTTATAGGAGAGTTTCAGTACTTTGGCGAAAAGCCTTCCCTAGTCATACTTGAGCACCTTATGAGGGATAGACATGTTAATGTTGCACTGGAGCTGCATTTGTCCAGTTCAATCGAAGTGAGGTTGCCGCTCTCTAGTTGTTCATTAACCCCGCTTGGGGGATGCAGCCCCTGGTTCCAATATGCATTCCATCTTGGTGGTGGCAAACACAATGCTAAAAACAAATAAACTTGGAATTTGCCATTCATAGTTGCTTCAGGCGTAGGGATTGCTGCATGCGCTTGCCAGGGTGTAGCGTCTCATTTCCTCCAGCTTTCCGTGAAATTGACTCAACCTCACATCATGTGCTCACTATGCATCTCCTCGATTATACGACAATCTCAATGGGTATCTGTTTTAATATATCAGATGTCCCATGAGACCACCTGCGGAACGGATCGAGATAAGCATGATATCTTGGTCAAAACCGTCTGGTGAGACTCAAGATCCACAATTGTGTGGGCAACAGGTCCAGTGTTCTGGCTCTAGACCTCCGATATGCCCGAGACCCTTGCTTTAATAATATTCAGTGCTATAATTGGGCGATGCAGGCATGTTCAGCTGAGGGGTTCTCTTGTCTTGTTTTCAGCTACTGTGGGTCATCCCAAGGTGGGGTAAAACAAATCCCTAGTAGAAGAAATGGCAATTTGAGGTCGTGATAAAATGTTGAAAAGAGGTGCAGTCAATGTGAAAGTGGCTATCTGATCCTCCTTTCAACGTAGAATATTCATGGTATGTTCTCAATAATTAGCCACAGCTGTCAGAATATAGTTTCGAGGTCCTCTGGCCTAACAGTGAGGGCATACAGATTGCATCCATCTGAGTCTGCACAAATCCAAGTTTGGCTACCAAAGAGCGACGTGATGCAATGGGTACTTGCATCATCACGCTGCAGACAAAAGTCCCTTGCATTATATGCATCCAGCGTGTCACAGAACCGCGCACCTCTGGCAATACGTGGCCTAGATCTGTCGGGACGTGATGACTACATTATTTGCTAGCAGTGCAAAGTTGCATGGCCATAATCATAGCAGTCATGCATATGGCGGCTTTGATAGACTCACTTGAGTTAAGAAGGATTTGGGCCAGTGCAAAGCTAATTTGGAACGCCATGAACTCATCGATGTCGCCAATACAGAAGGCATATGTGATGATCCTATCCAAGCCGGTGGAGCCCTTGAGAATCGGAGTCCAGAGCATACCCAAGAGAAGGACTCATGCAGCGTCAGGATGTGTCTCGGAGTGGAATCAGTTATGGCGAGCACGTGCCGATCAGGGCATAAATGGTACCGAGCGAGCGGACTCGTACAGAGCCATACGAGCCCAAACAATCCAACTTAACAAGATAGTCCATTATAGCCTCATCCTCAACGATCCTCGATTGCGCCGAATACCTCTGAAACGGCAGGACTTAGCGATAAGATCCACAAGGGGATGGGAAGAATAATCCCATCAATCAACGTCAAATTCTAAGCGAGAAGTATCCTCACGATATGTCATCTGCTATCAATCACAACGGGCGAAGGCCATAGTGGAGGACCCTATTATCATTGACTTCCTCCATTATTTTCGGTTAGTCCTGGCACTTGAACTGAGAAGTTAGCTTCCTCTGTTGAAGCCTGAATCTATATCCGATGGCTGTTTCATAGCCCATAGCGGATACATATTTGTATGCGATTCGTGTGCAACTAAAATTGAACTGTACGGACAAGACGACGCGCGAGATTAAGAATATATTCCTGGTATCAGGTGTGTTGAGGAGGAACACCATAGCTGTCCCAAAGATAGCATAGGAGATATTATTGGTCCTTCATGACATCTTATAATTGGCAGGCCAAAGATGATCTGATTTAACTGGCACAGAGTCACACGACATTCTACGCCAACCCTTGACTCTCCCAAGGAATCAACAGCGGGTCGGTAAGCTCGAATATCTCCATTTGATTAATCTCATCGATAGACAAGGGTTCCCAGAGGGAGGAAGAGTAGTCTGGAAGTGGCGTTGGTTGCCCGGGTCCAGCTAGTGAATGAATGTCGGTGACTATTGCACTAGCCTGAGGAATAGGGCTTTCCATTGGGTGTCGGCTGAGCTGTGGCCAGGACCATGATTCACCCTGACCTTCCAATGTTCGCGTACAAAGATAGTGGAGATAAGACGATGCTTGCCGAAGGGATTCTATGGTTTCGGTCGTAGAGGGAGACAGTCTTCCAGAACCGGCTCTTTCGCCCAGGTGCGCAGCTGACTTCGATAGAAGAGTGATAGCGATGTAAATGAATCGGAGGAGGGTATCTGGTTCTATTGAAATACCAGACGGCTGGGTTGGGCTTTGGAACCACCGGTCGTAGAGAAGCATCAGTCCACTCTGAAAAACGAGATGATGACCTGATGGCCATATGTGGGGTACGAACGACACATCTGAGGCTAATTCAAATGCTAGGATGAGTTGTGTCGTTGCTTCCCTGCAAGCGCGCAGACTATCGGCGAATTGTGGTTCTTGTTGTCCAAACGTCAATGCAGGGCGATGAATGAGCATGGTGGCTAGTTCCCCTAAAATGAACAACCATAGAGAAATAGAATCAGGGAATTCAACAGAGTTGTAGGCAGTGGTAGGTTTGTTTATGTTGTGTAGTCTGGTCTGGATAAGCTCTCCAGTGCGTGCGATGTTGGGTAAACTTGATTGAACGTTTTGTTTCCAGACATCGAGTTCACGTTGAAGTCGATAGATCTTGGCAACTCCACCTCTTCGGTTGGTCGTCGTATACATTTGTTCTAGACACCTGGATAGAATTTGTGCGAGATGAACATACTGGAGAAAAGGCTCGATATGGGTAGTTTCTCCAGGTAATGGATATGACAGCTGATCACTATGCATGTCGTCATAGTCAGCGTTGGTAGGGAGGTCGGTATCTGTGTCTGCTGTTTGTATGTTTCTGGGTAGACCATATAGGATGCTTGATTGTCTAGTAAGGGATACTATCAGTACCTTGTATTTCCAATAGCGGAACTGAAAGGGTCTTTCATACACGTCAAGCACATATACAGACCACCATATCCGCCTTCGCAACTCACTTTCACCAGGTTGGTGTTTGAATCGTCTAGTATGTCGATGAAGTCCGAGCGACTGCGCTAGACGTACAATCATACCACAGATGCGTATTGCTAACGAGTGCTGCAACGTCGTCTGGAGATAGAGAAGGTATAGGATCAAACCTTGGAGACTGGGAATATCTCCTCGGCAAGGCATCTGACCAAGTAGGTTGCTCAGTATGGTGTCTAGGTGATAAGACAAGGGCTCTGATTCAGTTGCGGTAGTACCCCTATGAACGTTGTCAAGCGCTATCAAAGCATACACCTGGAGGAGAAATGGTATTCTGAGATGCGGTTCGATTGGGGTAGTCCACGCATCATTGATTGTGTCGTCAAATGTGTCAAGAAACTGTTTTGACAACAATACAGGATATAGGATTCCCCAACATTGTTGGTACTTATCAAACGCCTTGCGAACAGCAACCACTCCCAGATTACGGAGATGATTGCGTAGAGATTCAAAGATGTTGGCCGAAGCGAGTTGACCGTCCACCAAACAACTTTCGAAGCTTTTGTTTCGTTCCCAAGCTACGGTCAATTCGTTAGACCGCAGGATATGTAGGCGAAACAAACATTCGGGAAAATGCTCTTGGGAAGAGAAAGTAGTCTGATACAGCTGCTGAGCTGAGAGAACAAAATGAACCCCTGTTGTAGAACCTGCAAAGAACTCGGAATTGCCATCGCCCAAGACTAGTCGTCCAAGGTGTGCCACCACAGAGCCATTAGAGGCCTTCTCTCCTGCATGCTGCGTGTAGCCAGCAGTGCGAGGTGCTGCAACAAGCTCCCTTAACTGTTCAATCTCTTTCTTCTGTGCCACTATAGTCTCCTGGAGCCCTTCTTCTCGCGCTGAAAGAAGCTGCAGCTGGTCTCGAGCTGATTGCAGCTCTTGCGTGAGTTGTTTGATGAGTTCTTCGGTTGGTTCAATGTACCTATCACCTGGTAAGAAGGAGTATTAAAGAATAACAACAGGGGCGGCGTATACCCTCGTGGTGTGGTTCTCCGTCTGAGTTGGACAGACACTGAGCATTCAGCACCGGCCCTCTCGCATTTCCCACACTTGAATGAGTGAGCAAGTGAGCCGAGGCAGACGTAAAGAGAGGCAACGAGAAACAGACCTTCGGTCGGCGTCCATCACACTTGACTCTTTTACTGAAGGTCTCGTCAGATCTCCCACGACATCCTGGGATTCTTCTTATGTTGTGCTTACACACGGCAGCGATCGCTATGTGAACCAAGGTCAGTGTTGGTGGATGCAGAGGGGGGGATTCCACGTTCTTGGGGATGCTCGTGCATGCAGAAGAACCCCACTTACCAAACCTGGGCCGGCCGTCTTTCAGCCATTCTTTGCATCAGGAGTCACAAAGATGTTACAATATGACTGTGATCGTCAAGTCACCGACATTGGTCGAGGATGTTGAGGATGGTGGGGATGGCACGGAATAAGGGCAGCGGGATAACCGACTATTCCGGCGTGGAGTTTATGGTAGACCCAGGCATCCAGATCTACGCCTGAGGCAGCACAGACTGGCCTGGCTACGGTTGGGAATGATCGTCACATGTTGGACTCTCGTCTATACAGATTGTTTGGATTTTGCATCTCTTTTCACAATTCTACCAAATGATATCTGTGTCTCCGTTTACCACGATAACCTCGGTACCCTGTAATACATGCCCTTTGACCTTTTTACACTTTCTCTTCGTGACTGATCTCCCCTTTCTCTTGTGCCAAGTCTTGCTCGAGTGCCAGGTGAGGATTTTCCCTCGCATACCGAACAGTCGAAAAGACCGACGGGCTGTTCCGAAAAATCAGGTCAATTTCTTCAAGCGATCGGCCCATGGTCTATTTTGATGTCAGTAGTACACTCGAGCGAAAGCGGGACAGAATTTATTCACCTCGGGATAAAAGAAGTAGACGGAGATAGGGATACAGAATCCAATACAGGTAAACACAATGTAGTATTGATACCCGATCGTGTTGATTGCTACTGGGGTAATCATCGTGACAGCGAAGTTCCTAAAAGCATTGTCAGCGTCTTCAATACCTCATATCTGAAGTATACATACCACAGCCAATGATTAGCAGTCGAAATACTCGACATGGCTACTCTCAGCTTTGTCGGCGCAACCTCGGTACAATAAAGGAAATTGGCACCCAAAAAACCGATTGGAATGAAGAAATTGAAGAGGAAAACGAAGAAGACACTGGCCACCTGTGCGCCAAAGTTCGAATGTGGAAAGGAGGTTACGACGGCGAGCCCCATCATGCAAGTCGCCATTCCTGTGCCACTCACCATGAGCACAAACCGTCGCCCAAATCGATCGATGGCAAAGAAGCCAACGAAGCAGGAGAGGAGCTTCCAGGTCAATGTACCTCCGGATAAGATTCGAGATGTCTCGGAGTCCATTTGGAGACCCTCCTGGAAGATGACCGTTGAATAAACAGATATCAGGTTCCCTCCAGACATTTGTTGAAAGAACTGCAACAAGATACACAAGCAAAACCGGTAGAGAAGGCGGTCCTGTCCCATCTTAAGCATATCACCAAGCGATGCGGCGGTGCGGCCAGACTGTTCCAACGAGCGTTCTATTGCGGATAATTCATCAATTATGCTCGTGTCATCTTCGTGGAGCCCCTTCAGCGCAGCAAGGGTGTTTCGGGCTTCCTGCATGCGGCCTTGTTGAGAGAGCCATCGTGGGGACTCTGGCATTGCCAAAATAACCAAACTTAAGATAAGCGAAAAGAAGATGGGGATGGCAATCGGTGGCCGCCAAGATGCTGAACCCGTTTTGATTTGGTAAAATCCTAAGTTGATCCAAGCCTGCAGGACATATCCGACTGAGATGAAAAGCCCATCCAGAACGACGTGCTTTCCGCGCTTCGAGGAGCTAGAGCATTCGCTCTGCCATGTAGGCACTGTACCACTCAACATCCCCACACCAGCACCCAAGATCACTCGTCCAATGATGAGCTGAGCTAGTTGGAATGAAGATGCTTCAAGCACCTCCCCAAGTAAGGTGAGGATTGCCCCTGCAAATATTACGATACGACGTCCAAACCTGTCGCTGGTATATGAACAGGAAAGGCATCCCATCATTGCTCCCAATGTAAATGTCGCCACTACAACACCTTGTATCGTAGCATTGGAGCTCTTTTGTTCTCCTTGCGTGTGCACGGTGTCGATCCGAGGGAAGTGATTCGTGAAATCCGTCACCGAAACCAATCCACCCAGGTTGGATTGATTGTATCCGAATAGAATGAAAGCAGGACAAACAACCAGAAGAAGCTGTGCTAGTGTAAGAGCGCTTCCACGAAGGCCCATAAATGATGGTGGTCTCATAGTTCATGCAAGAAATCGGCAGAGCCGAATAGTGTCTGATCAAAAGTCTGCGGAGGAAGCTGCCTTCATCAGGATTGATCCGATGTTCATACCTCTTTTATATTGTTTATACATTTCGTTATAGGCCTTGTATCTGGGGTTGTGGAGATATCAGCTGATCCGGGGTACAGACTTTTCTGGGGTCGGAATTAAGCTCTAATCCGAAGTCGTATCGGGACTGTGGGTGGAATAAGGCCCTAACCCTTCTCATCGCAACAACAGAAGCAGTTTCGGTACACAACCATACGTCTCAGTACATGTCCATTTGAAGGCAATGCCTAAGCTACCCGAGATGACACCTTTACACCATGGTATCTACATGCTATATGGGCATCTCTTGGGACGTCCACCTATTGGCGATTCCCTTACTGTCTCGACGTGCTATTCTTCACACCTTGTTACTAGCGACATCTACATTGGCCCCATGCTCATACGCGAGAAATTGATATAAAAAGGCTAGCTTCATTGCCTTTCACTACCTCTGCTTACATTGCTTTCAGTCCTGCTTTCTCTGCGACTCTTTTCAAAACGTCATCAACCATCAGCTGACCGGAACCGAGATAATTCAATGGATCACACAATTGGGTCAGTTTGGCTTCATTCAAATGCTCTGATACCTCCATATTCTCCTTTAGCACATCTAACAGGACTCGATCATGCTCAATGGCTGACTTGCAGGCCTCATAGACCACGTCATGTGCTCGTTGTCGACCAACGAACGGAGCCAGCCCCATCATTACAGCCTCCCCGACAATCAACCCCCTTGTGGAATGGAGGTTCCTCTCCATGGAGTCTTCTTTCACACACAGTCCTGATAGAGCAAAAGTGGTCTGATGTAGTGCACCAACAGCGTATGTAAAGGACTCCGGGATTGCCACCCACTCCAAATGCCACGGCCCGGACGCACGTTCAAAGTCAACAACCATAGCGTCCAATCCCAAAGATGCATTGGCTCGGAGAAGCTTGCTGACAGCGAGAATGATCTCGCTGGAGATGGGATTACGCTTCTGCGGCATGGTTGAGGAGGCACCGCGATGAGGTACGAAAGGCTCTGCCACCTCGTCTAGCTCATTGGATGACATAACAATGATGTCTAAAGCAATCTTGCCCAGGGTGCCGCCTATCAGCGCCAGAAGATTGAGGACCTCTGCAATATTGTCACGAGCGACATGCCATGTGATCATTGGGTCTTCCAGTTCAAGTTCCTTGGCTAACTGTGCTCGCACAAGAATCCCGGTCCTGTCACTACCCAAAGATGCCAATGTACCCGCTGCACCGCCAAACTGTACCAGGAGGCATCGGCGTTCGATTTCACAAAGCCTGTCTCTGTGTCTAAGAATGCTGGAGAGGTAAACGGCACATTTATAACCAAATGTGCAAGGTAGAGCATGTTGTAAGTGCGTACGGCCGGCCATTGGTCTGGAGACAGTGGAATCAGTACCAGGCAATACCGCCCAATTGCGCCCGATGCTCGACTTACGTATCACGGTACTTCTCAGCCAAAACTTGCAAAATATCAACCAATCTGTTCAGATCTCGTTTCACCAAATCCAAGCCTCTTTTGATCTGAAGCATGCTGGCGTTGTCCATGACATCTTGCGTAGTGGCACCCCAATGGATGTATTTCGCCAGGTCTTCAGGAGTGTTCTCCACCAACTGCATCACCAACGGTAAAACAGGATATCCGACAATTTCAGTTTCTCGCGAGAGCCTGTCATAGCTATTTTATTATCGTTAGTCAATGGTCGATGGTTCCACAATGATTACCTGTCACTGTCCACTTACTCTAGTTCGATATTACCAAGAACTGCGGTAATCGCACCGCCAACTTCTGCTGGAATAGCATTGACTTTGGACTCTGCCCGAGCCAAGGCTGCTTCAGTTTGAACGAGGAACTTTGCATACGCTTCGTCCGTGAATATTTCACGGACCTCTTCGGTGCCAAAAAGGTTCCGAAAGATTCGGGAGTCGAGAGCTGAGATAGACATTGCGGCCGTATTCGCAACAAGAAAAAGAAGAGAGAAAAAAAAAAAATTCCAAGCTCAGTTGAAGATAGAAATTGGATCGGTGAAAGAAGCTCAAGTCATATTTATGGGGAATTGAGTCTATTAATGGAGGGTCGACCTCTAGACCTCCAGATTTCGCTCAATTGGGAGAGACCGGAATAGCGCCTTATCCCGAGCCCTCCATCCGCCGCTACTAAATGACTCCGCTGTTTGTCTTTCATTTTGTACATTCTCATCCCACGCCTAATCCGTCGTCTCTCTATAAGGTTAGCGTTAGGTCATGTGCACAATATTCATTTATAACGGTGTTGAATAGAATAGACTGGCGCTAATTCCTAGGACACCTCCTGGGAGTCAATTGCACGCCGGGGGTATTGATTCCTATAACAACTACCCGAGCATAGGTCTCAGCTTCTGTATACTTTATCTGTGACTCTCAATAAATATACGAAAGCCATATCTCTGGATTTTCAAGGGAACTGCATGAAAGAAGGTCAGCCACTTTATTCAATGCGATACAACCTATAAAATGCTGGAAGTCAATCGAGGAGGAGGGACTATATAACGATAGTCGGTTGAGTCGTACTTTGCAGCCTTTCTAATACCAAACGGGCCTTACCACCACCTTCACCTAGTCTCGATCTGCTTTCCATACTCAGTAATAATATGATCACAACCTAGCGGTCTTCCTATAGCTACAGAGTACTACTGGCTTGAGCTTCCAGTATCTAACGTGTTCTTAGAGTTTAGATTCCCGTTGTCTGTGTTGAACCAGGCCGTGCAAAGAGCGGAACGTTTCCATTTTTGTCTATTTGCCTCCTTGTGCGTATTTAATAGATTAGAGTGCTTTGCCTACTATAGCGACTAAATAACTTCTTGTCTTAAACGGAGCACCAGTCTCCAAGGTAAGGTGAGATATGTGGTACTACTAACCAGAGGCAACAATACTAAGCGTGCAAGTATGAAGTTTCCCCTCAAGCTAGCATGGTGTCTTTCCCCCTGAGATTGCGCTATTCTCACTTGAATTAGTATAATTCTCTAATGAGAAATTGTTTATGAGGCAAAGTCTTCTTGAAAGGGAAAGATGAGTATATTAGTACAATTAAGAGATACTAAACTTATATCTGAAAGAAAAGATCTATTATTTGTACTATACTGTGGTAAAAGAATGACGGGTGAAAAGAATCATTGATTACATGTAAATGAGTGACAAGTTATAAAAGTCCAACAAACCATAATCGAATCAAACATCCAGATTAGACCAACACAGTCGGGTCGATGTTATAAACGGAAAGATAGCGCGCCCCGGAAAGGATTCTAGTTCTCACCTTTGGCACCAACCCCCACCTATAAGGAATCTGCTTATTATTCGAAGTCTTCGCAGTCCGCGGGAGGGGGAGCTTCGCATTCAGCGCATCCGGGAGTTCCGCCAGTAGTAGAGGACGAAGAGCTGCTCGAGGAAGAAGAACTCGAAGAGCTGGAAGAGCTCGAAGAGCCAGAAGAGTTACTACCTCCCTTGTTGGTTCCCGTATTGCTGCCAGTGGTGTTGCTGTTGTCTCCAGACGTGTTTCCACCTGTTGTAGGAGGGCAGGAGTTGTCGCCTTCGCAAGCTGTATCACTGCCACTGGGAGGAATGCCACCAGTAGGAGGAGTGCCGCCAGTTGGGGGGATACCACCACTGGGAGGAGTACCACCAGTAGGGGGGTTACCGCCATTGGGAGGAGTGCCTCCAGATGGGGGAGTACCACCAGTTGGGGGAGTACTTCCAGTTGGAGGCATACCGCCAGTAGGAGGCATATTTCCAGTAGGGGGAGTGCCACCGGTTGTAGGAGTGCAGGTATTGTCACCTTCCTCACAGACTGTATTACTGCCACTGGGAGGGGTACCACCAGTAGGGGGAGTACCGCCAGTGGGAGGCATACCATCAATTGGGGGAGTGCTTCCAGTGGGAGGCATACCGCCTGTAGGAGGAGTGCCACCGGTAGGGGGGGTACTTCCAGTGGGAGGCATACCACCAGTAGGAGGAGTGCTTCCAGTTGGGGGGTTACCGCCATTGGGAGGAATACCGCCAGTTGGAGGGGTGCTTCCAGTAGGAGGAGTACCGCCAGTGGGAGGCATACCATCAGTTGGGGGAGTACTTCCAGTAGGAGGAGTACCGCCAGTAGGAGGAGTACCGCCAGTAGGAGGGTTACCGCCAGTGGGAGGGGTGCCGCCGGTGGGAGGCATCCCATCAGTTGGGGGAGTACCACCAGTAGGAGGAGTACCGCCAGTAGGAGGAGTGCCACCGGTAGGAGGGTTACCGCCGGTGGGAGGCATCCCATCAATGGGAGGCATACCCTCAGTAGGAGGGGTGCTTCCACTAGGGGGAGTGCCTCCAGGAGGAGTTCCACCATTAATGTTGTTTGTCACCGTGTTAGAGTTGGAGTTGGAGTTGTTATTGGTATTGGAATTGTTGTTCGTGTTGGAATTGTTGTTTGTATTCTCATTGGAATTGTTATTCTCATTGGAATTATTGTTTGTATTAGAGTTGTCATTGGAGTTCGAATTGTCATTTGTGTTGGTGTTGGTATCACACGGCGAGCAGAGGCCGAACTTATCCATCTTGTGCTCTATCAAGCCCTGAATCAAAGGGAGAAAGGTGCGGGCTTTCAGGCTGGCTCCTTCTTCACCACATGGGGGGCATAAGCCACCCATAGGGAAAAAGGTACGAGACTGCAGGCGAGCATGGACCTCACCCTCCGGAGCATGGGCAGGGACGGGGTCAGCCAGGCCGTGATCACTAGTAGTCACAGACACCGGAACCGCCAGGGCCGTGGCTGAAAAGGCAATAGTGCAGAGAGTGGAAGTCTTCATCTTTCTCAGAAAGAGAAGAAAGAACAGAAAGGAAAAGACAGTAAAAACAAGAGAACACTGCAAACTGGAACGAGTGAATTGAGTTGAATAGCGGGATGGAGAAGTGATATTGAGGATTTCCAGGGACCTTATATAACTTTCATTTCTCTATCTCTCAAATACTGACAATCGACCTGGGTCTCGACTCTCGATGGAATTCATCCATGTTTCAAACCGTGTTATCCACAATAGAGGTGTAGCAAAAGCTTGCCAGGTTTCAAAAAACAACCTATACCGAGTTTTTTTTGGGACGGGCTAGACTCCACAACACAATTAACTGGGTACCAGCATTTGATATTTCCTTACCATTCTCTGACTGGATAATGCTCCCAAGGCCCCTGGCCTTTCATCCGTTGCATATGTATTTAGTATGCAGTCTATTCTAAGATGGATATAACGCACAAGCCTAGTCAGTCCCACACCTCATAGGAGAGATAATTGAGTACGAGGAGCCAAACAACAGCCTCATGACCTCGCACGTCGATCTTGCCCATATTAGTAAAGCTAGGGGAATTCGTGGCATCGAAAGTTTTCGACCTTCAGGCACGCCTACTTTAGTAGTCGCTTTTGATCCAAATTTGGTCCGATTAGAGTTAATCGGTCCGTGGACCCACAAGACCACGCACGATGTTGAACCCTTCAGATGAGTCGTACTTCCATACTGCCAGCGAGGGCTAGACTTAGGCAGTTTATCTAGTAGTACTCTCTTTTGAACTACAATATTCTTTTCTATAAATATCCGAATCCCAAGCGTATCACGGTTTGATGCCTTTTTTTACTTTTTTTGCCCCCTTCCGGAAACGAATGTAACCTTGACCCCTGTTTGAGAATCCTCCATTAGGGTTACATGAGGTGCAAAACGTAGTTAATAATAACAACGGATGAAGCATGATTAGTTGCTTCTCAAGTTGGGTCGTCCCACTTCTTTCTCAGGTCGTTGAGTTACTCGACGCGTAGGGCATCCGACGTCCACTTTTACTTGACAAACGGAAGAACTATTCCAGTCGAGTCAAGAAATACGAGATCGAGGTGACAGATGGTTACGTCCCTGTAGTCTGTAGTAGGCCATTGTAGAATGCAGAACAGTTTGTATTTATCTGCCGACGGAGCGATTCATTTTTCCCTATTCGTTAGGAGATAGATGTGGAGGTAAGAGAGGATCCAAAGGAAGAAATGGCGACTACTACTACTACTACTACTACTACTACAACAACAACAACAACAACAACAACAACAACAACAACAACAACAACAACAACAAGGAGAGGATATTTCATTGATAACGTTTGTTCGAATTGAGATAGTACAAAACAATCGTAGAAACTGAATGTTGCTCAGGCACAGTGAATGTAAGTATATCCAGTACTATGTTGCAAATTATCTTCCCGACATGAAATTGTTTAATATGTTACCGAAATTTCAACTAGGCCAAGGATGGGGTTAACACTGATGAACTGTTTTAAGTCCCAGTTGGGCACATGCAGTCTTGCATAATCGCTAATTTCATATTCTTCTCACTTCGCGATACTTGTGTACCAACTTCTTTTCGATTGATTTAGCCATAGCAGCGACAACGCCTGATAAGGGTTAATTACACTCTAAGGACATCCCTCTAATTTGATCCAAAGTACATACCTTCTGAATCAGCTGGACTGTTGATAAAACGTAACGGACTGAAAACCTTGTCCCTGGGTATCACATCTGTCTCCTCCCGTCTGGCGAAGTTCATCACAACCAGTTCCGCTCGCGGCGCTGAATGTATATATATCCCTCAGGGGCACCACTGGCTTTCACCGACTGGATATCTTTGCCCCCGGTCACGCACAAGCAGCCCCAAACTGTATCGCCAGTAAACAAAGTAATATATCCAGTACAGGCAGCATTCGAATAGGCGGTTATATTCCAGGCGGCTGCGAGAGATGCATAGGTAGAGAGAAGAGCAATGGTGGGAAAATGCATTCTGAGAGATTGTTAACTTCTTTCTGGGGGAAGTGAATACTTGAGACGAAGGCTTTTTATTTAGCAATCCCAACGTCTTCTTACAGCTTCACTACTTACATTAGGGTCAACAATAGGAATTGCTTTGAAACTGGGCCCAGGAAACTACTGGGATTTGAACTGAAAAGCAAAGGCCAACCCGCTTATTGTCAACCTGGAAGTTCCTGATATATACTAGAGTTGTCAACGACTATCATTACCCTATGATATTCTGCCTTAAGGTGGACACACAAGGGTGGCGGGTCTGGAATAATTTCTCTGTCTGTTAGTGTATAACTCCTGCGTGATGAATTACGCACGTGCCCAATCTTTCCCGCTTGGCCTGGTCTTGAGTCTAGATATTCTTAATAAAACGGTTGTTGCGGAGTGGTCGCTATGGCCTACTGTATATAGTGTGTCAGACTCTCAACGACGTACTGAGATTTCCTCTAAAATGCTACAATATCAACATTCACAACATAGATACGTTACATTTGAGCAGTTGGAGGTGAAAAAAAAAAAAAAAAAATGTTTACAAGAATTATTGAACAGGCGCCGTGCCTGCTGTCATTGATTAGCCCTCAAATCTCATCTCCACACGTGTCAATCTCGGTAGCAAAAATGCCGCATGCCAGAACCATGCCAAGCAGCACAAAGCATCTCTATAAAGGCACCCAGATTGTGCAATGATTGTACGACAGAAATCATAAAATAACCAAAAGCACCCGAAACCCACCCCCCACCCCCCTCTCCCCCGATATGGCATGCGATAAATGCCCTGCGCCTGGCAGCGAAGTCGAGCAAACAACCTCGGATGATGCGACGCGTCCGTCACGCGTCCTTGAATGGGGGTCCCGAATTCTTCCCGAAGGCTCTGCTTTATTATCTTCCTCTTGCTGTTGGCTACCGGTATTGTGTTCTTCTTGTATGCGGTAATTCCGATGAAGGCTGATTAAAGTGGACGTAGGCCCTGTTAGATTGGGTTTTCGCTGGTTCGATAACGGCGACGGGTATGGAGCGACTTCGCCCCTTTTTTCTAGCCATTTCGATCATCACCCTCGCCTGGGGTATTCGACGAGAAGGACTCAGTCGCGGCATGGTCCGCCGGGCCATCATCAGTGTCATCCTCGTGGCCTGGCAGGGATACAATCAACGTAGACAGGCTGTGAACGGACACCACCACAGCTGCCACTGACGGGAATGAGGGTGATTTTCAGGAAACCTGTGCAGTTAAAATCCAATGTAACCAGTATTGTTAGTGATATTCATTTTCTATGTACCACATTCCGCTATTCACAGTAGAGAGTGGTTATTTGAGCCATCCCGGTACCTCTATGGGTATATGGAAGGTTAGTAGGATCAGGCAGGGTAGCTCTGGGGATGCTTACTCGTAGCTAGGGGCGCGGTGGGGCAAACTGTGAAAGATACTTCGCTTCCACAGCCCAGTATGTAGGTAATGAAAAAAAAAAAAAAAAAAAAGGCATGTCGATGGGCATGACTGCGAATGTCAGGGAAAGCTGGGTCACGGGGTTCGGCACGGGCCACCAAAAAGTCAGAGTGAAGATCTGGCCCTCGTTCTCTATAGTCATCTTCAATCCATATCCATTCCCTGATAGCGAAGCAGTATTGGTGCTACTGTATCTCGCGTACACCTGCTGAATCTTGCCATTCACCTGTCTCAGATGCCTGGCTGATGGACTTTCATACCGACGTACCTGATAATGAATCAGAACAGAGAGATAACGAGATACCAACAAAAGCATCCGTGCATTAGACTCACTATTAATATCCTCAGTAAAGGTATAGATGATGGGGCATAGTTATGGTGTAGGAATAGTGAGGGATACGTGCCTATGATATATCTGCTGGCCCGCCTGCCTTAGCTCGCACCTTGACAACACCTACAATTGTTGCAAATCAGCCAATGTGGATCCTAGTATGTAACAGCCTAGCGGTATTTATAAAGCATGACTACCTGAAAACCAGAGCGCCATAATCATGTGATGTATTTGACCAATATGTTAAGCCTCGTATTGTATAGCCAATCTAAATGTTGGGGGCATGCCCAATTATTAAATGATGGTGAAAAAGTAAGACATCTCAGGGTTGCGGTTTTCCCGTACTACGAGGCGAACTAAAAATGATAACGGGACCCTTTGGTGAGTTAATCTTCTCGGATCCCTGGGAACATAGACTGTACCACTTGAGGAACCTGATCCGGGAATAATACGGTGGGACAGAGATACATTGAAAGCATCGAACAGTGTCAGAGGAAGAGGATTAGATGCTTCTAATGCCAATGGTTTGGGCCTGGCTCCGCCAAACAAGCGGTCCTCTTCTCAGACAAGCAGACAGTCTACGCTACAAGCAATCATGACCCCGGGAATCTCCCCGAAATAGTTTATTGTGAATCCCGAAGGGTCTCGAGAACTTCAATAGACGCAGACACAAGTGGCCATGCACCAGATCCACGCCCATCAGGGCATTGAAGGGAATGAACGAGCAGAGGAGACTGCGAAAGAAGCGACAGGATGGAGGCCTAACCAACCTGCAGACAATGTTCAAATGCCAAGGGATCCCCCCGAATGTCAGCGAAATACTGGGAACGACCCGGGAGCGAGGGCGATCGTGGACGGGATCTGGATCGAATCACACGCAGCATCCTCATTCAAGCTTTTCCTGCAATTTTTTCCTGAGACAAGAAGGGCCCTTCGGTTTCTGTAAGACGTCACTCATCCAAATCTCCATATGATTTCTCTCACCTTCACATTCTTAACTGGAGCACGAGTATAGCGGAAGGTGCGTGCGAATACTTTCAATGAAGACAATGAAGACAAGCCCACCTCCCTGAAGAAGGGGAAAACAAAAATAAAAGAAAATACAAAGAGCGAGGTGGTGGGCGAGGAAGATTAGCAACAAATAAACTTCTAGGAATCTCAGATTTTTAGCAAGGTAATACTAAGAGAGCCACTAGCTGGCAGTAAAGCAAAGAGACGAAATTCAACTCTTTCCTGTCCAGTTAACGAAGTTGATGACTTTCCTCCCAGTCGTACTTCGAACAAACCCGCTGTAGTTGGATAGGAAGATTAGCTGGAATAGCTCCTCATTGAAATCGAAAACCATGAAGAAGTTGCGGATTTCCCTGGTCAGCTCTTGCTCACTTATCTGTCCATTTCCCGTGCCGCGTAGGATGCGAACTTCTAGGACAGTAGCAACACCTGAGGCATCCTCTTCCTTATTACGAAGGATGATCTGATATTGCAGGACACCCCACGACTCCGTTCGCATAAGTGCTTGTACAATGTGAAATTCGAAATATTCCCCGTACCAGTCGAAGCTGATTCTCCGATCTCGTCCGTATATTCGCACAACTTTATAATGATGACTGGTCTCTTGCGGGAGCTTTCTCTGAACTGTCTCTGGCAACGGGTGAAGAGATGCAACATCGCCACAAACATAGCGAACGAGAGGATGGCGCAACCGTTGTAAAGAAGTCTGAATGAGGAGACCCTTCTCCCCTTCAGAGAGAGGGTCAATGTTGTAGCCATGTTGATTGCGATCAACTGTCTCAAGCTCCTCAATCGACAAAGGAAACACTTCCAGATGGATCAGTCGCTGGTCAAAGATAAAGTCTGTGTAGTTCTTATCAACAGCACCGACGGTCATCTCAGGACTTGACACAGCCCATGGTCCAGCTTCGGCGCTCCCAATCACCGAACTCAATGCGATAGGCCCGAAGACGGATGCCAAAAAGCTCCGCTGGGCTGGTGTAATAGCTTCGGAGGTGTAGAGTAGTTTGTTTACCCGCAGAGACGCCCGCTGCTCATCTGGAAGGGTCGCAATGGATTTCGCGAGCTGGACCAACTGCCCCGCATCGCCGGATATCACATTCACCTGATACGCCGCAATGGTCTCGATCACGTCCTTATGATCCATGTCCGGCCCGGCGCACAAAACTGCCGCGCCAGCACTCTCAAACACCTGGGTCATCAGGTCGAGGGCTCTATCTTATCGGTGAGGAACTGTTCAACACAACTTGTAAAACACAAAGGGAGGGGGAGGGGACGTGCCGGTACAAATGCCCGGCATTGTGCATTGTCAACACCCAGTCTCCAGGTTCGATAATTCCACAGATTTTCAACATCGATCCGAAGACAACTCGTTGTTGATGATTCTCCACGGAGTCAGTGGCAAAGATCATTGGCGGCCCTCTTCCTGACCCCCCACCGGTTGTACTGATGTAGGTGCTCCGTCGATAGCCATTACGAGGATCCAAGTCGACAGTCAGCCGCGTAATCTGTTTGTACCTAGCCCAAAGATATTAGGAGAGGAAGGGAACAAAACACACACACACACACAAAA